GCCCCGAGTCACACTCTGATGACTGCTGTTTCCGCTGTCTTGGCTTTGGCCGTGGCGAGCGCGTGCAGGTCCCCCGTGTTCTCCGGACTTGCCATGTCCTCTCTAAAGCACTTGCTGGCTGGCTGGCGCCTCGAGAGGCCCCAGGCGTGCCCATCCCCCAGCGCCGCTCACGGAGACCGGGACTCAGCCGCTGAGACCTGGGCACGCTGTGGGCACCTTGTGCCCAGGCTGTCGATACCCGGGGCCTCCCAGGACAGAGCTCGGAGATGCACAGACCAGCTCGCGTGCGCGCACGCCTCTGCTCACTTCTGCGCTTCCCGCGCTGTGCGCACATGCAAAGGTCACGCGCCCGTGCTCCCGCTGGAGCAGGTCCGCACCCCTGCCTCGCTCTCACCTCCCGCCCTCACTACTGACAAACCCGGGTCCTGCCGTCCATGCACGTCGGCCCTGCGCACGTGCCCCTGGCCTGCAGCCCTGAGGGAAGCGGCACCGGGGTCCGTTCCCGCTGGGCCGGCCGAGCACCGGGGAGGGTGCAGGTTCCCAATGGGGCTTCGCTGAGTCCTGTCCTCCCCTTTCGACCCCTTCTGTGTTGTTTGAGCTGGGGGTCGGGCTCCTCGTCCCGGCTCGTACCGGGCGTGGCTTCCCCGCGTCCCCCACTATTGGTTATTGTTCGTAATTTACATGTATTACTTGTTATGGACTTACATGGTTTTATGATTTACGTTCATTAGCTGTCGTTGTGTACGAGTCACCCTAGGATCGGCGGACTACTTTAGGGAAATAGCAATAAACAACACATCCTTAAAGATTTTAATGTAAAAATAATACCAGAAGGTAATCTCATTAAAGTACATCAGTCTTTCTGTGATTATTTAGCCTACGCTAATACCTAGTTAATTTTTGTTACTTATATTTCTTGTAGAAACAAATCATAAAATGTTTTACCACCTTAATTGTAAATTATTATCTGTATAAAAAATGTGCGCATACCAGTAACAAAGTATTAAATATTTTATTTTTCTTTACAAACTATTTTGAAGTGATTAAATCACTGATGACAATTTATTTTTTTTTTTGAAGAACTCCAGCTAAGAAATGCCAATGTAGTCTTCGCTGGCGTGGCTCAGTGGACTGAGCACCGCCTGCGAACCAAACGGTCTCGGGTTCGATTCCCGTCAGAGCACAGGCCTGGCTTGTGGGCCAGGTTCCCGGTAGGGGGCGCGCGAGAGGCAACTGAGCCATGTATCTTCACACATCAGTGATTCTCTCCCTCTTTCTCCCTTCCCCTCTAAAAATAAAAAAAGAAAGAAATGTCAATGTATTAGAAAAACAGCATTTTGCGACACCTGATAAAATCCTGTTGACAACAATCCTCAGCAGCATCTGGAACCCCTGGGTGAGAGCTGGGTGGGCTTTGGGGGTCGGTGGGTGGGCCTGCCTGAGGCCCAGAACCCTGACCCCTGACAGCTCCCCCCGGGGCGCGCCCAGCCTGAAACTCGGGGACAGGAGCACCTGCCCCGGAGGGGGGCACCAGGCAAACCGGAAGTGCTGCGGCGATGCTCAGCTGCCCGCGCCGGGCTTCCTCCGCCCCGGGCGCCAAGAGCACAGGCACAGGCACAAGCAGCGCCCGCGGTGTCGAAGCACAGACCCCGCCTTCGCCCCGCCCCCGGCGCCTGAAGCCCTGGGAGCTCCCGGGCAGGAGCGTCTTGTTGCTAACAGGCCCCTTGACCGTACCTGCGTTTATGGTGATGGGGCGACCTGGGTGGCCCTGGATAGGGACAGGATGGCCGGTGGTCACTGGAAACACAAGGCACTTTGCAGCCCCAGCCCCTGACCTCTGCGAAGGAAGGAGGGGCTGGAGGCTGTAAAAGCCCCGGAACAACGGGGTGGAGGGGTTCCGGTCCGGGCACACTCGCGAGGGGGGGGCTGGGGGCGTGCAGGGGAGCTCTGTACACCACCCCCCTTGCTTTGTGAATTTTCTGCCTCTGGCTGTTCCTGAGTGGTTATTATTTTATAATAAACCATTGATCATAGATCATAAGTAAGGAGCTTTTCTGAGTTGTGTGTGTGATTTTAGTATATTTTTGAACCTAAGGGGGCGGTTGCAGGAACCCTCAAATGTGCACTCCGCTGGCAAAAACGGGCAGCCTGGGGCCCCCACTCTGGCGGGTGTCTGTGGCAGGCGTAGCCCGTGCGCCGTCCCCGTGAGGACAGGCCGAGCTGAGCGCCGGCAGCCAACATTCGCTTGGCGGCAGGACAGCCGTCTGCCCGGGACTGCCCAGAGCCCCCCCGCCGTGCCCCTGGGGCCGCAGACGGGGGCGAGGGGGGGGCCGCGCAGTCGTACTTGTTACAGAGAAGTGGCACTGCAACAGGTGTGATAATGGCCCTGTGCCTCCAAAAAGGGCATTTTCCTTAGATGCAAATACATGGTAAAATATTCCCGGTGGGAATGATATCTGAGATTTGCCCCAAACTTGCCGCTGCCCGTGTGGAGGAGGTCAGGCACGGATGAAACAATCGGCCACCAACCAAAACCCCCCCGAGCCGGTGCTGGGTCCACAGGGGCTCCGGACACCGTTCTTTCCACTTCGGTGCCTGTGCCGGGCCACCCCCCGGTCCTCACCCACACTGTGGTCCCCTCCCACACTGGCCCAGGACAATATGTGTGGCCAGTACCACAGGGAAGGTTGGCGTAGCACTTCTGAGATCACGTCATGAGAGACACTGCAGCTTCTTCCGGAGAGCTTGCCGTTCCCGCCGCTCCTCCTGTCTGTCCGTCCGTCCGTCTGAGCCTCCTGCCCAGGGGGGTGCATGGCCTTGGACACCACGGCCCCATGAGAGACCCAAAGTCGGAACCACAAACCACTAAGCTGCTAGGCTGCTTCCTGGTCCTCAGAAACCATGGGAAATCATAAATGGTGGTTGTGTTACTGGTTTGAGAGAGGGGAAGGGAGAGAAACATCCACGTGCAAGAGAAATAATGATTGGTTTCCTCTCGTCCATGCCCCCACCAGACCGGGGACCGACTGGCAACCCAGGCGTGTGTCCTGCCGGGGAATGGGCCCCGCAGCCTTTCAGTTCCCGGGACGACACGCCGACCAACCGAGCCACACTGGCCAGGGCCTGGCGCCTGTTTCCAGCAGCTCAACTCCAGGGCACGTTGTCACACAGGGAGATGCCTGATGACATACACTTTCGACGTTTTCAGGAAGAGTTTGGGTTTTTTAAGGCCCTTAGGTGGCCTCAGAGCAGGCTCCTCCCGGAGCCGGGCCCCCCGGGGCAGGCCCGCGTGTGGGCAGGCGGCTTTGGGAGCCGCACAGGTCACCTCCACGCGGCTGGTGGAACGTGAAGCAGACAGTGTGACTCTTATAGAAAGTTCACAAATGTGCCTTAAAAACAGATTTTTCCAAAGGATAACAAGTCAGTCCTTACATTGTCCTATTGCCCAAATGCTTTCCCACTCTAGTGGGTGTGCGGACGCGTGTGTCACAAGTGTCTGCCCTGGGTTCCCTGCCACGCAGGGTAGACCAGACAGAAGGCCCCATCTTCACGGAGTTTAAGTGTCATTAAAGGAGCCATTAGTCATTTTCACGTTGTCACAGTTCTACGGGTGCTGGGGGGAAAGAGGGGAGCTCCTCCCCACGGTCCGGTGTGCAGCATTTAGGAGTTTGCACCCCACGCGGAGAAGGGAAGCCAGGTGCGGGTTTGGGGGCGCCGGCTCCGCCAGGTGATGAAACTGGTGCAGAGACTAGAACCTGGAAGCGACCGTGTCACCTGTGCCAGTGGCTTCCAGCATCACGAGGGGCAAGGCCTTCCCCGGGGACAAGCTTCCCCGGGTGTGCTGAGTCCGAGGACACGGACTTGGTCTGGAATGAAATGTCATGAGACAGAGGAGAGGCCACAGACTCTGCAGAATGGCAGTGGGGGGGCCCAGGGAGTGACCCGGCCACTGAGCCTTGTTTGTTGCAGGGGATGGCAGGGCAGAGGGCGACGTCGAGGTGCGTGAGGAAAACAAGATGAAGTGTGGCTACGCTGACTTAAAATGGAGTCGGGACAGTGTCAAGCGGACCAAGCGGGCTGAGCGTGAGCGACCGGTTTCATTTCTCTAGCCTGAGGGCTTAAACTTGTGACATTTCCGTTGGTGCGTCCACGCCTGGAGGGTCAGCCCCAGACAGCCCTGCAAAGGGCTCAGGGAAGTCACCCGTGTCCCGCCTGACTCGCATTGGCGGGACCCCGGCGGGCCTGCCCGACCGCCTGCCCTCTCGGGCCAACCCACAGGCTGGGAATGCAGGGTTGATCCTCCCCGAGAACGTGCTTTTCGCTATTAGGATCCTCGGCTTTTCTTTCTTCTTTGGGACACTGCGGGCATGGCCTCATTGCGTCTGCGGCGGGCGAACCCCAAGCCGCTTGGGTAAATCTTCGCCACTTCTTTCAGGCCAAAGCCTCCTGACTCAGGGCTGGGTTGTCTAAACACCAGGAGAGACCCCGGCCCGGGGCCTTCAGCAGGCGGGACCCGAGGGCGTCCTGTGAGTGCTCAGTGCGAGCTCGAAGGAACGGTCTCTGGGGACGCTCAGCAGCGCGAAACAATGGCGGCAGGGGGAAGGGCGGCCGTCGCTGGCCCGTGCGGGCCCCGGCTGGGCCCAGCCGAACGCGCGGCTGCACGGTCCGCTCGTCCCCGCACCTGGGCCGCGAGCCCGCACCGGGTGACGTCCCCGCGCGTTACAGGCGGTGACAGCACCTTGCCGACGGCGTCCAGGTGGGGCGCACGTAAGACCGTGCCTGCCTCGTTCCCCGAAATAGCAGACTGGCCGGGGGGCCCCGGGACCCGCAAAGTGTCCGCAGCAAACGGTGCTGACGCCCCCAAAGGGCCGAATCTCGCGGGCGACCCTGCACCTCGCGCCGCCCACGCGGGACGCGCCCTCCAGGTAGGACCCACAAGATGGCGGCCGCACATGCGCCCTCTGCCGGCCCGCCCGGCGCGAGCGGAAGTCACGTGACCCCGGAAGTGGCCGGCGGGCGGGCGCGCGCGGGCGGGGCGCAGACGTTCGTCATTTCGTGCGGGAGGGAGCGCGAGCGCGGTGCGGTCGAGTCTCGGTAAGCGCCAGCGGGGGGCGGCGGCGGCGGCGGCGCGGCGGCGGCGGGGAGGAGGGGCGGAGGCCAAGCCTTTGCCCGCCCCGTCCGTGCGGGGGGAATCTGCGCCGGGCGTGGGCGGGGGCGGCGGTGACAGCGGGCGGCGGCCCAAGCGCAGGGCGGGTCGCCGGACGCAGGGGTTTCCACGTGCGGGCGGGGGGCGCAGGCCCGGGGCCGGCCGAGTGCAGGCGTCTTTTGTGGCCTCCGCTCGTGCCCCGAGGCGCCCTCTCTCCGCCTGTGTGCGTGGACGGCGACCAGGCCTGACGCCCCTCCCTAGGGGAAGGCGCACCCGGTCTCTGCCATCCCCCGAGCGCCCCACCCCACCCTACCCCGCCCCGCGCCCGGCCCAGATTGCGGGGCCTTGCGGAAGTGCGGGGCCGCGGCTTCGCGCTCGTAGGATCCTGTCGCCTGAGGCCGCACTTGGTGGCGTTAGGGCGTGAGCCTTCTAGAGGAATTCCAGAGGGAGCGGCCGGGAAGAGCGGGCGGGCCCGTCGCGCCTGCAGCGGCCGGCCCGCTCGCGCGGGGTCTCCAGCGGCCTTTTGTGGGATCTGGTAACGCGGGCAGGTCCGGGCGCGGGCTTCGCGTAGCAGCCGGCGGTCTGCGGTGGGGCCCTGACCCGACTTGCACGGGCCGGACGGATGTGAGGGGTTTCGGATACTCCCTCAGGGGTTTCAGAGGGGGCGGGAGGCGGGACCTGAGCTTTCCGCGGCTCCAGGTGCTCCTGCACCAGGGTCCACAAAGAGGGTCCCGGGAACACCCAGCGGCTGCAGCAGTTCCCGGCTCCGGGTCCCACCAGCCTTCCCGACCGGAGAGAACCTGGGCAGACGCCGTGCGCTCGCGCGCCCTTTGGGGACGTACCTGGGGGACTCAGGCTTGGCCCCGTAACCTGTGTCTTTCACAGAGGTCTTCCTTCGTGGTCGGAAGGAGTCCCTGGTCCAGCAGAAGGGGGTCCTTGGGGGCGAGGGCCTGGGGAGCTTAGAAGGCGCAGCAGATCTGGAGGTGGTTCCACCGGGGGGCCGGGCCAGCCAGCCGGGACTGGCGCTGCCGCCGCCTCGAGCGAGGGGAGACTCGCCTGGTGTGCGGAGCGGGTCGCAGCGCAGCAGGCTCCGTGTGGCCCGTCTGCACTTCAGTAGCCTGTGTTGGGACCTTGGATGAGCCCTGGCTGCAGCTGCCCTCTGGCTCCAGAAGGCGCCCCGCCCCCTGGGCGCAGATAAGGGGCTCGGCCTGCGGGGGCAGCTCCGCCGCCGCCTGGCTAGTTGGCGGCGGGGCCTGCCCGGGGCGGGGGCCTCGGTGGGCCCCTCCAGGCTGCCGCATTGCACTCCTCCGCAGGTGTCCCAGACCAGCCAGAGGTGAGCATGGCCGAGCAGGAGCCCACAGCTGAGCAGCTGGCACAGATCGCGGCCGAGAACGAGGAGGACGAGCACTCGGTCAGCTACAAGCCCCCGGCCCAGAAGAGCATCCAGGAGATCCAGGAGCTGGACAAGGACGATGAGAGCCTGCGCAAGTACAAGGAGGCCCTGCTGGGCCGAGTGGCCGTTTCGGCTGGTGAGTGGGCCGGCGGGGCGGGAGGTGTCGCCCCTGCCTCTTCCGAGTTCCTGTTGCTGCTCCTGCTGGTGGCGGCAAGTTGGGTACTTGAGGTGGGAGGCCCAGCGGGTGAAGCTGTAACCTGCTGTCGCTCCACAGACCCCAACGTCCCCAACGTCATTGTGACCCGCCTGACCCTGGTGTGTAGCAGCGCCCCGGGCCCCCTGGAGCTGGACCTGACAGGTGGGTGTTACCCCTCGGTCCCTGGGGGACGCTGCCTCACTCCTCCTCACTTCCCCTGAAAATAATTTCCTGGAGAGCTGGCGCCCTCTCGCGGGCAACGCAAGAACCGCAGGCGAGGGGTCTTGGAAGACTCCGGCTTTGGCTTTGGAGGGACCTGGGTCAGGGGGCCGTCGTGGAAGGAGCAGTCACACAGGGGAGCAGCTTCCCGGAGCTGAGCCTCCTACTGCAACGCCCTCCCAAACACAGGTGACCTGGAGGCCTTCAAGAAGCAGTCCTTTGTGCTGAAGGAGGGTGTGGAATACCGGATAAAGATCTCTTTCCGGGTAAGGCGGAGGCACCCGGAGGGCCGCGGGGAGGCTGGGGCCAGAGAGCCCCGCTGAGCCCCGCTCGGGACACCCCTGCAGGTGAACCGAGAGATCGTGTCCGGCATGAAGTATATCCAGCACACCTACCGGAAAGGCGTCAAGAGTGAGTGAGGGTGGGCGCCGGCTGGCCCTAGGCTGGCCTGCGGGAAGGGGCAGAGCGCAGGTGGCTGCGCGGGGTTGGCAGGGGGAGGGGAACGGCAGAGTGTGCTCTCCGTGCACCCCACGTGCTGACCGCCGCCTCCCTGCGCCACAGTTGACAAGACCGACTACATGGTGGGCAGCTACGGGCCCCGGGCCGAGGAGTACGAGTTCCTCACCCCCATGGAGGAGGCACCCAAGGGCATGCTGGCTCGCGGCAGCTACAACATCAAGTCCCGCTTCACAGACGACGACAAGACGGACCACCTGTCCTGGGAGTGGAACCTCACCATCAAAAAGGATTGGAAGGACTGAGCCTGGCCCGGGAGGCGGGCAGGGCGGACAGACGGAGGGATGTGTGCGCCCCACCCCCACCCCCACCGACCCCGACCCCATACCAAAGTGCTGACGGGGCCCCGGCCCGCGCTGCCATCGTCCCCCGGTCTGCCTCCTGCCCAGCCCACAGGCCCCAGCCTCCTGGATAGTCTAGTGTCGTTGCTGCTTCCGCCTGTGCTGTGGGGGCGGAGGCTGCAGCTCAGGCCTCCCCCCGCCCCGGACCCCTCTAGGGTCCCCTACTTGTCCTCACCTGACCAGTGGCCCTGGCTTTCCCAAGGGAGTAGAGCGCTCAGGCCCCCCTGGGTTTCGCGGTGGTTCTGTTCCCTCTCCAGAATGGGGGGTGGGGAGGGTGCATGACACGGGGCCTTGGGGGCCGGTCATCCTCCCTGGTCAGTCCATCCATTGCTGTCTGTACCCGTCTAACCATGATGCCTTAACATGTGGAACGTGTGCTGTGGGGGCCGTCACTAACCTCTAATCCCTGTGTCTGCATGAGCATGTGGTCTCCCCCGGTCCCCATCGCCCCATCCGCAGCCCCTGTGGCTGGGGAGGCGCGGGACGTGCTGCTGCTGTTCCCGGCCTGCCAGGGCCTGGCCAGCCCCTTCCCCCTCCCCTCTCCCAGCCAGGGCTGTGGGGACAGCTCCAGGGGCTTGGGGAAAGCCAAATTGCCAAAACTCAAGGGGCCTCCAGTCCCATCGGAGAGGCTGGGTGATCTTACGCCTTCGCTTTCTCTGTCCCAGTGGGCAGCACCCAGACCCAGAGCTGACGGCCCCAGCAAAGAGCCTTCGGCAGACAAAGCCAGCGGCCGAGCCTTACTTGTCCCATCCGGGCCCACTGGCCTGGAGTGGCACGCCTGGCCTGTCAGTATTTATTGCCTCCATACGTGCCGTCCGCTGGGCCTGCCGGCCTGCCGCCTCTGCCCCCAGGCTCCGAGCCACCATCCCTGGCAGGCCCTCCCTGGACCCAGCCAGGACAACTGTGGGACCAAGCGTGCGCAGTCGGAGCTGCCCCCAGTGCCTCCTTCCCAGGTCAGGCCCCGGCTGGGAGGCACAGAAACCCGTCCCTGCTTTTCCTCTTCTGACCGGGAAATAAACCCCCTTGAAGGAGCCAAGGTGTCTGCTGCTGGTCTCTGGGCAGGGAAGGAGGGCGGGGCCCATTCCTCTGCTGTCCCCAGGGCCAAGGTGTGGCAGCCTAGCCCTGCCCTGATTGAAAGCCCTGCTTCAGCCCGCCGGGCCCAGTGTGCCCAGTGTGCCCTGTGGGCGGTTCAGACTTGGGAACTCCCGAAAGGACCAAGGATCGAGTTTGGGGGCGGCAGTGCACAGCCAGGCCCGGGCCAGGTCAAAGTCCAGCTGGCTTGTCAAGCCCCTGACCCCAAAGAATGGGAAGAAACCTTGCTGGAGACGAAGCTCCAGGAGAGGCGATGCTTGGGGTGACCAGTCCCAGGAATGACCTGGGGGGGGGTGGTAGAGGGTGGAGCCAACAGTGCCCAGGGCCGGTGCACCCTCAAGGGCCGCCAGAGGCCAGGCACACTTGCCCACCTGCTCCTCTGGCCAGCAGCGTCTCTGGCACCCGGGATGGCAGGGAGGGCGCTGCCGCCTCTGAGCACCACCCCTGAGGGCACCCAGGTACTGACACCCTTGCCAGCCCTGGAGTGGAAAGGGGCAGGTGGGTAAACCAGGCCCACATAGAGGATGGGTTCCAGAAACCCCTTCAGCTGGACTGACTTGGGTTTTGAAATCTGCTCTCTTTCTGTGGCCCGAGCCAGTTACAGTGGTTCTGTGTCACAGGCAGGGGGCCAGGACGCGGCTGCCCTGGAGCCCGGCCCCGGCCACCCCCTTGGGCCGGCCCCCCTCCCAGCGCTTATCAGCAGGCTAGCCCTGCCAGCAGGGGCGGGCTAGGAGGCGCCTTTTTGCCCCACAGGTCAGCGTCCACATGCCCGTGCCAGGGCGGCTCCCACGGGGCCGGTCATCTCCAGCCCACTCACCAGGACTGCCGTGGGATCCTGGAGGCTGGGCCCTGTGCCGGGCAACAGGACAAAAGGGTGCTCCCTGCAGCTGCAGGCCCAGACAGCGCCAAGAGCAGCCCCAGGAAGCAGCCTGGGCCTCGGGCCTCGGCCCTCCACTCCGCCGGGGCGAGGAGCCTCCTGGGCCTCTCCCAGAACCATGCGCCCCAGGCCCGGCAGGCTGGCTCGGGTGGGGAGGCAGCGAGGTCCCCAGCTCGGGCCTTGCCCGCCGAAGTCAGACGTGGCCGCCCGTGCACACGTCCCCCGCCTCTGGACAGGCCAGGCCCTGGGGCAGCGGCCCTACCTGGGTGCTGCCGGAGGTCAGTTTACTACGCGGGGGCCTTGTGAGGCCCCATCAGGCGGAAAGGCCTGCTGTTGCGTTTTTCCAGCTTCAATCAGACATGTGAACTCAGACCCCGGGTGCCAGGTTGTGCAGGCACACTGCCAACAGCCAGGACTTTGTTCTGGCTCCGCCCTGGTTCAGGGTAACACGAGGTGTCACCTATAGAACCCGCATGACGTGTCTCTCGGGTCCCAAGTCTAACATGATCTTCCTGATTGCTCCCTGACCCCCCGTCCAACCCGGTGCCCCTGGGCCTGGCCTCCGCACCCCAGTAAACCAGAGCCCGCTGTCTACCCTCCCTCTGCCCCCTCATCCTCCAGGCTTCTGCCTCCTCGTGCACCGCAAGGTGAACGCTCCTTCCACGGAGGGCGTTACCATTAGTCACCAGATCAGGGCCCTTATGTGACAAACTCATCACCAATTACTGCGACTTAGGAGGACCTCCTGCATGCCCACGCTGTCCCCTGTGCAGTCGAGGCCCACCTCAGTCCGCCGGGCCCTGCTTCCCGCAATGCTCCCACCCGGAGCTCGCCCGAGGCACTGCCCCCGACCCCGACTGCCGCTCGGCAGAGCCTGCAGGCGGGAGCAGGTCAGCAGCCTGTCAGCAGCCGGGGGAGCTGGGTGCCTGCAAGCCTTCACCTCACCCCTCAACACCTCCTGCCCAACTGCAGATGGGGAGGGAGCAGTTTCATTTGAGGACTATTTTTGAGAGTAGTTACTTTATCAAAATAGACAATCCCTCAAGAGTTGAGCCAATGTTTAATGGACAACTTCTCCGGGTGTGAGAGACTCCAGGGGGACATCCTGAAACAGCTGTGCCCGTCCACAGACACCACAGCCACAGCCACAGCCACAGCCACGAGGCAGGAGGCCCCGTCCTTCAAGGGCAACTCAACTCGCGGCCGGGGCAGGAGGGACCGCAGCCCTCCCTCCCCCAGGGCTGAGGCCTGCTGGCGCGTCCCACTGAACGGGCTGTGTGGCGCGGGCTGGACGCAGCTCCGCAGCTCCATCACCCAGCTACTGACCGAACCCGAAGGTGGGGTCGTAGGCCTCCAACTTTCTGAGGCCCCCACTTCGCTGCTCCTGCACAGTTGGTGCATGAGACCAACTCAGGACGCACATATGGTACACAATGTCCCTCGTGAACTGTGGTCTGTAAAACGGGGTCATGGCAAGTACAAAAATGTTGGGAGTGGGGACCGCGCCCCACTGCGCTGGGGTGCAGGTGGGCGCCAGAGGAGGCGTGAGCTCATCGCCCTCCTCCGCAGAAAATCCCAGCCCGGTGAGGTCGCCCCTGGGGAGCAGACGGGTATCCCAGCAGGTACAGCCACCCCGGGGTGACCCTTGCTCTCCTAGCAGTGGGGGAGGTGCACGGAGAAGCTGGCTGTGACTTTCAGGAACCGGTCTTCTAGCTTGAAGGCGTCCCGCACAGCAGAGAGCGGCTTATGCATAAGTGCACTCTTTGTTTCCCCATTCCTGAAGTCAGGGTGTTAGTCGACGTGTACATTTAAAGTGGGAGTATTTCCCCTTCTCCCGACGAGCTATTACTGATGCGTCTTAATATCAGTGGCGGCGGTGGTTCACAAAGGAGGAAGTGACTGCAAATGAAGGGGAAAACTTCCTGGAGGAGGAGTGGGGGAGGGGAAGTGGAGGCGGTGAGCAGGAGAGGGGGGGTCGCGAATCCCGTTGCAGCCCACCGTTCAGCAGAAATACGATGCGAGCTACGCTATTTAAATTTCCGAGGAGCCATGTTAAATTTTTTTTTTAAATTTTAAATATTCCACCATGTCAATATAAAGGTCATTAAGGACTATCGTGCGAGCCTTTCCCCGTACTGTCCCGAGTCCCGTGTGTGTCACACTCAGGGCGCGTCTCCCACCGGCGGTCAGCAGCCTGGGTGGCAGGCGACCACCTGTTGCACAGCGCACGTCTGGAGGAAGCTGTGCTGGGACGGGCACCTCCAGCGGCTGCTACTCAGCGCCCGAGGAGCCTCGGGAAACTTAGGAGGGCCAGGGAGCCGAGGGGAAGGGACAGTCCCTGGGGCCTGGCGCCCGAACGGGCGCCCAGTCCTCCCGGTCCGCGGGCGGCTCCAGCACTTGCACGACTGCGCGAGGCCCCGGGGCCATTCCCTCGTTTCTGGACCTTTAGGAGGACCGGCCCAACCTCCCCTTCCTTCGCCTCGCTGCGCGCAGTTCCCGCGGCCCACCCCGTCCCACCGGCCGCCGCTGGCAGCGCCCCGGCTCCCCAAAGCCCGCGAGCACCGGGCCGCGCCTAAGCCCAGACTGCCCAAGGCAGGCGCCTCACGAGCCTCACGCGCGCCGGAAGTGGCGTCAGCCCCGGAGCCGGGGGGCGGTGCCAGTCACGGATACGCGGTCCAGTAAGAATGCAACACGCGGGGTTTCGGGTACACAGGAGCGGCTCCGCCCCTCGGCGGGGGGCTCCGCCCCACTGCCACGTTCGACGAAGATTACGCTAGGTGCGCGCATCTCTTGGCCAATCAGGAGCCGCAGAGCTCGGGCCTCGGAAGGTGGCAGCCATTCCAGAACCGGGGAAAGTGTCGGAGAAAGCCACCAGTCACAAGTCGAGGGGGAGAAAGTTCTCCGCCGAGAGCCAATGAGAGGCGGGGTTAGAGTGCGAGCGCGAGCTCCCCGGCCAATTCCGGGCGAGGGCAATGGAGTCCCGCGGAGCTCTTCCGAATCCGGGCCGGAGGCAGTGTGGACATCCACTCCGGGCGCGGCGGAGGCGGGCCCCGGAATCCGCCGGCCAATAGGGGGCGGGGGCGGGCGGGCACGCGCGCGGCGGCCGGCTTTATAAGGGCGAGGCGGGGGGCGCGCGCTCTCGTGGCCTCGCTGTCCGGCGGCGCCAACCGAAGCGCCGCATCTGCTGTCGACATGCTGCGCTGCTCTCTGCTCTCCCTGGCCCTGGCCGCTCTGGCCGTGCTGACCGGCGCGGGCGCTGACCCCGAGGAGGAGGACCACGTCCTGGTGCTCAACAAGGGCAACTTCGAGGAGGCGCTGGCGGCCCACAAGTACCTGCTGGTGGAGTTCTGTGAGTGCTGCCCGGGCCTCGCCGCCGCCGCGGGGTGGGGACGGCGACCGAGGGGCGCCGCGGGCTCCAGGGCACGGAGGGCTGGGGGCGCGGGTCGGGGAGCGCGGGGACCGAGAGGTCCGGGGGACAGAGGGGCGGGCGCCCGTCCCCACTCACTCTCCCCAGCCCTGCAGTGGGCCGGGGTCCTCGGGTTGTTAGCGTTCCGTCTGTCCCTGGACACGCTGATTCCTAGCCCCGCGGAGGCTGGCTCCTCCTGGGAGAAGGCAGCCCACAGCCCTGCTGTCAATGTCCCTGCGCTGCAGGTGTCCTGGGGACATCCCCCCTGCCCGAGCTGGACCCTCGGGGTGATGTGGGCTGAGAGCCAGGACTGCTTTTGTGTCTGACATCCACATGGCAGGATCGCTCTGCCAGTCCATGAATACAAAGGAACCCCCAGGGCCCAGACCCCTGCCTGCGCTGCCCCAGCGGTGACAGCTACCTCCAGAGCCCAGACCTGGCGTCTATAAGTGCGTGCAATCTGCCTGCTTGGGGCGGAGGTCCTAGACTCCACACAGCTGCCTGCTTGGGGCGGAGGTCCTAGACTCCACACAGCTGCTACCCTTGGCTAAGAGGTGCAGCCGTGTCCCCGCAGTATAACGAGCCAGTTGTAAACGTGAGGCCAAAGGCAGGTGCGCACAGATGTGCATCACGTATTTGTGAGTAGGTCTTAGTGGGAGGCCTTGACTTCGTAACTTCTCAGCTTTCCCAGAGGGAAAATCTAAGGACAGGTCTGCCTCATTGCCTGCATGCAGGTAATAGGAAGTTGCTCATTATTATAGAGCTTGTCTTCTGTGCTGAATGGTGACAAGGCAGTGTAGGAAGTGGTGTCGGTTTGTCATTCATGGCCTCTGTCCCCATATTGCCCAAGAGTGCTCAGCTATCAGCTCAGCCTTGTACGTTGAGAGGGGTTATCTTGCTGAGCAGATAAGGTTTTCAGGGAGGGAAGTGCCCAAGGAGGAGGGAAGCAGGGAGCTGGGTCCAGTGCTTTCCAGCGTCTCACTTTCCTTCCAGATGCCCCCTGGTGTGGCCACTGCAAAGCCCTGGCCCCCGAGTACGCCAAAGCAGCTGGGAAACTGAAGGCCGAAGGCTCCGAGATCAGACTGGCGAAGGTGGACGCTACAGAGGAGTCCGACCTGGCCCAGCAGTACGGCGTCCGCGGCTACCCCACCATCAAGTTCTTCAAGAACGGAGACACAGCCTCCCCCCGGGAGTACACAGGTGTGGCCCTGCTGCCTGCCTTCATCCGCCTTCGCCCGCAGGCCCTGGAAGACGCCTGAGGGGTGGGAGGCCCATTTTCAGAAACGTGGAGGGGAACCTGTCCTTGGACCCAGCTCTCGGTTGGGCTCTAGTTCAGCCTCCGAGGAAAGCTCTCATCCTGGAAGAACTTTCCAAGTGGAGAGGGCCGTCCTGGGGGTGGGCCGCAGGCCAGGGGTGGAGGCTAGAGTGGCGAGGGCAGTGTCGCCACCAGCTGTGCCGGCCACGAGGCCGGTGCTGCGGGCCTCCCCGGCAGGGCTGTGGCTGGGGCTGAGGCGGCCGGCTCCCCGCTGCTGGGCAGAACTCGAATCTGAGCCCAGCTCCGTCCGCCCCAGCCCTCAGCGGCTGCTTGCTCACTGTGACGCTGCTTGCACGGGGCTGGGCCCCTTTGTCACCCAGGCAGTACCTGTGACAACAGGAGACTCTTGTCTGTAGAACCGGTTCTGTGGCTCGGCTGTCAGAATTCTGTGGAGCTGCCTGGCTCGTCAATTCTGACGTCAGCAGCTCCGGCCTCACTGGGGTGCTGTGTGTTGGTTCCGTTTGTTGTTTTTGTTTAAGTTGTCAACCAAGGATGTGTTTATTGATTTTAGAGAGAGAGAAGAGAGAGAGAAAGACATCGATGTGAGACATCGATCAATTGCCTCCCATATGCACGCGACTGGGGATTAGGGATTAAACCTGCCGCCTGGGCGTGTGCCCTGACCAGGGGTCAGGCTCGCGAGGCGATGTTCTAACCAACTGAGCCGCCCAGCCAGGGCTCGGTAGCCCCATTTTTGCTTGTGTTCACTTTTGGGACAGGAGGTGCCTTGTCTGCAGTGACCCTGACCCTGTCATCGACCCGTGGGTTTCGTAGATGAGGCTCCTCCCCGTTCCACCTGGCGCTGACAACTTGACTCTCTTACCTTTTTAAAGGCTTTATTTATTTATTTTTAGAGAGAGGGGAAGGGAAGAAGAAAGGGAGAGAAACATCCATGTGAGAAAAAATATCAATCGGTTGCCTCTCATGTGCGTCCTGACCTGGGACAGAACCTGCAACCCAGGCCTGTGCCCTCACTGGGCATCGAACCAGCGGCCTTTCGGTTTGCGTGATAAAAGCCGATCAACCGAGCCACATCGGTCAGAGCAGCGGAAACTAATTTTAAACGTGAGATTCAGCAAACCAGGCGGCCAGGCGCCATCTCAGGAGGACCAGGCGTTTCCCTTCCATCCCCCCACCCCGGATGCTGCCCAGGCGACCCACAGCTCGCTAGCCCGGGAGCTGTGAAGGGCGAGGGTGCTTGACCAGCCCGGGCAAGGGAGGCAGGATGGGGTTCAGCCTGTTTTTACGGGGAAACTAGCATCAGGGATGACTTGTAAAAACAACTTTAGCCCATCTCTAGTTGAGACACAGCCCATGGGGTGTCACCGGAGGGTCTGTGTGATTGGTGAATGCAGACGCCAAGGGCAGCTAGAAAACGCGAAGGGTTAGAGAAGAAAAACGGCCTGTGAGCCTGTGAGCCAGAGGCAGCCGCTGCCCCCCACGCTGAAAGCCTTTTTAGCCGAGTCCTCACAGGCGTGTGGACGAGGCAGGTGCCTGTTGGCGAGAGGCTGTCCTGCTCAGGGTTGGCGGGGAGCTCCGGGCAGGGTGCATGGGGCGGTGGGAGTGTGGCCCAGCCTCAGGGGGACCCCGCATGTGTTTGGGTGCAGCTGGCAGAGAAGCCGACGACATTGTGAACTGGCTGAAGAAGCGCACGGGCCCCGCGGCCACCACACTGCCTGGCACGGCTGCCGCAGAGGCCTTGGTGGAGTCCAGCGAGGTGACGGTCATCGGCTTCTTCAAGGTAGAGACTTCGGGGTTCATCTCGGGTCTCCTCACCCATGTCCTCGGAGGACAGGCCCCTGGGGCCGGGCACTGTGGCCCGCCCGGCCGCTGCCCCGGGCGGGGGTCCTCGGCGCTGGCGGTGCCGCCACCTCCGGTTCTTCTCCCCAGGACGCGGAGTCAGACTCGGCCAAGCAATTCCTGCTGGCGGCAGAGGCCGTGGATGATGTGCCCTTTGGGATCACGTCCAACAGTGACGTGTTCTCCAAATACCAGCTGGCCAAGGATGGGGTCGTCCTCTTCAAGAAGGTGAGTGGCCCTGGGCAACTCTGCCTGGCCGGGGTGGGGGGTGGGGACGCTGGGCTGGGCTGGGCCGGTGTTGCCTTCCTGTCGTTGAACGTTCCTCGAGGACCTTGCCCGAGGGTGCCAGCCCGCCGGCCCGGCAGTTATCAGGGCCCGTTGTGCAACATCAGGCCCTAAGTGCCACTCCACAGTGCCCTTCAGCCCCTTGTTGTCTCCTGGGCAGCGTTCTGTGCGGGCGAGGTCGCTCTGGAGTGTCAGTCTGGAGACAAAGTAACAAGTGTGCAATCTAACGTTTCTAAGTAGTTCCCTGGCATTAGCTACACTGTGTGTGGTGCAACATTATTTCTACTTCTGAAACTTCCTTCCCCCAGGCATGGACTAGGCGCTCCCTGGGCCTGGTCCTGGTGTCCCCCTCTTCCTAAGGGGCTGTTGGCGTCCTTGCCACTTTGCGCCATTGCTGGAACGCAGCGGGACCCATGCCCGCGCCTTCCCCATGCGGGGAGGGGAGGAGAGGCAGGGGGCACACTCTTTGTCCTTTTTTTGTTGTTGTTCCCTTAAGATTAAGAGGGGAAGGGGGAGGAGAGAGGGAGAGAAGCATTCCTGTGTGGTTGCCTCTCGCACGCCCCTTCCTGGCCCCACAACCCCAGCCTGTGCCCTGCACTGGGAATGGAACCGGCGACCCTTCGGTCTGCAGGCATTGCTCAATCCACTGAGCCACACCAGCCAGGGCTCTTTTGTGTTTTCTTAAAAAAAATTTATTGATTGATTTTAGAGAGGAAGAGAAGCAGTGTGTTCCACTTATTTATGCATTTGTTGGTCGATTTTTGTGTGGGTCTTTGCCTTTTACTTCAGCCGCCAAGCAGTGGGAAGGAGGGGAGGCAGCCAAGCGCCCCTGGTCTTGGATCAGGGCCGTCCCTGGACTGGGGGGTAAAAGGCGCGTGCAGAGTGCGGGCAGGGAGGAGGCTGTGGCAGGGGCCCGGAGGCGGGACGCATGTCTTCGGGGTGAAGACAGGGCTGCTGTCTGGTTTGCTAGAGAGGGCGCGGCGCGGACCCAGTGTGAGCGCGGAGCTGGCGTCCGGCTCCGGGGGAGGGTTGGGACGGAGCTTTCGGCCAGACCTGCTGGGCGCCCTGCGTTCCGCCTGGGCAGCCTGGGCGGGGGGCAGTGTGTGTGTGTGTGTGTGTGTGTGTGTGTGTGTGTGTCTGTCTGTCTGTCTGTCTGTCTCTGGGGTGGTTCCAGAGACCTTCCTGGGCAGAACCCAACAAGCCTTACGTGCACTCTCTTTCCTGGGTGGAGACCCTCTGTCCGCTGAAGGGAGGAGGATTGACCGGTTAGTTGTCGTTGCAGACTCGCTGGGAAATTACAACCGCCACCTGAGGAGGAGGGGCCGCCAGGCGTTGGGTGAGGCTGAGTGGGTGTTGGTGAGAGAGCCCCACGGCTCCTCAGGAAGTTTGTCTCGGTTGAGGGCCGCTCTCTGAGGCTTTGAGGCCTGTCCGGCCGCTCTTTTCCCTCGCTCTCTACGTTGAGGGTGCGGGTTTTGGTCGTCGCGTGTCCTTGAAGGTTAGAGCTGATGTTTCTCGTTCTGCAGAAACCCCGGTGCTTGGAGCTGCTGTATGTGCCCGCACAGGCTGGGCACAGCCGCGCCGGGTGCAGAGCCCGCGTGGGGACGAGGCCCACGGCCCCTCGGGTTGCCGCCAGCCCATGGCCCCTGCCTTTCTGAGCCTTCGCTCGTTCCCCTCCCTGCGGGCTCGTCACCCCGGGTCCCCAGCGGGCGCTGGGCCTTCGTGTGGCGCCCGCAGCCCTCGAGCCTGTGAGGGCGCTTGTGTCACGGGGCTTGGACCGTGGGCTTGAGAGCCAAGCACCCCGTGTCTGGTCCTGATGTTCGCTGTCCTTTGCTGTCTGTGGGGGTGGGCTCCCCGCCACCTGCGCTGTCCAGCCTTTTTGTGATGTTGTCCCTGTGGCAGGGCAGGGCTGGCCGCCTGTGGCTGTCCCCAGGTAAATGACAGTGTCTGTTTGCTCTTTACCAAATTAGAGGGTGAACATGGTGTAATGTGGCAACGATACTGGAAAGACTGTGGCTCAAGAGAACAGCAGCCCTGCGCCAAACTGGGCAGAAACTGGGCAGGCAAGGCTGGCTGCCCCCAGGGGCCAAGGGGCCGGGCCAGGCCTCCCGCTGGTGGCCGGGCGCAGCCAGCCCCCTCCTGCCCCGCGCTTCTGCCTTCCCAGCCTCCCTGCATTCGCGGGTTTGGGGAAGGTAGAGCGGCCTCCCCGTCAGCCGGTGGGGAGCAGGCCTGGCCCGGGGTGCGGTCCGTGTGGGACAGGCGGCGGGAAGTGGCCGCCTGCGTCTCTGGAGGCCCCTTGGAAGAAGTGCGAGGAGGAGTGAGCAGAGAGGAGAGGCCTGCAGTTCCCCTCAGTCGCTTGAGAGCTGAGGGGTGGTGAGGGGGGTGGCGGGGGCCCCCACAAACTGCCGCCCGAGCGTCTCTGAGCCCAGGACACACCTGTGTCAGGTGGCCCCCCCCCATTTGTGGCTCCAGGACTTGATGGGGGTCCTGGCTTTCTTTGTCGTTGTTGTTCTTGTTTTATTTATTTATTTTTAGAGAAGGGAGGGAAACACTGGGTTGCCTTGCGCACGCCCCCTACTGGGGACCTGACCCACAACCCAGGCCTGTGCCCTGACCAGGAATCGAACCCGTGACCCTTCGGTTCAGAGGCCGGCGGTCAGTCCACTGGGCCACACCAGCCGGGGCTCGTTGATTTTTATTATGTTACAAGTTAAAACTGAGAAATTTTTAAAACTTAATAAATGTAGTTCACTCTAAAGTAACAACAATGAACTACCTACATGTTATCAAAAAGTAACATTTCTATGAACATTAATTTTCCCTGGGCAGTGGTTAAATGCTGGAATGGTGTCTTAGGTCTCTGCGGGCCGCCTGGTGTGCCCTCAGCAGCTGTGACGCCACGTGTCCTGCAGCCTTGGGGGAGGCAGGGGGAGGCACGTGACACCTAGTGACAGCTGAGCGCGTCGATGAAAGTGTCCTCCAGCGCTGCCGCCCCAGGGCTGGCCGTGCCCTGCCGGCTGCTGAGGAGCCCGCGGCGCAGGGTGGGGGCCGCCAGGCCGCGGTGCAGGGCCGAGCCGAGCTGGCGGGGGACGCGGGGGATGCGGGCGCCCTCGCGGAGCCCTCGGTGCTCAGGGCGCCCTCTCTGCCCACAGTTTGACGAAGGCCGGAATGACTTTGAGGGGGAGGTCACCAAGGAGAAGCTGCTGGACTTCATCAAGCACAACCAGCTGCCGTTGGTCATCGAGTTCACTGAGCAGGTGCTGGGCCTGTCCCTTGGGGGGTCCTGGGGACCCCGCTTGCATAGTACCCATCGCCATCCAGGCTCCCTGCGGTGCTGGGGCCGCTGAGCCAGTATCTTGCCTCCATAGCTCAGCGCGCAGCTGAGACCCAGTAACCTGTGCTCCTAACGCAGACAGCCCCGAAGATCTTCGGAGGTGAAATCAAGACTCACATCCTGCTGTTCCTGCCGAAGAGCGTGTCTGACTACGACGGCAAGTTGAGCAACTTCAAGAAAGCCGCCGAGGGCTTCAAGGGCAAGGTGCGTGGCCCCCCTGAGGTTGCGGGCGCAGCCGAGGCTGCCTCCGGCGTGGGGACACCCTGCCCTGGGGTCCAGGCCCTCGGGGCGGGGGCAGCCGGGGGGTCCGCAGGGTCGGAGCCGGGTCAGACTGTGGCTGCCGTGCGGCTGCAGGCGCGGCCGCACCGTCTCCCTGCGGCTGTTCTCAACGCGCCGTCTCTCCCCCAAGATCCTGTTCATATTCATCGACAGCGACCACAGCGACAACCAGCGCATCCTGGAGTTCTTCGGCCTCAAGAAGGAGGAGTGCCCCGCCGTGCGCCTCATCACCCTGGAGGAGGAGATGACCAAGTACAAGCCCGAGTCGGACGAGCTGACCGCAGAGAAGATCGCGGACTTCTGCCGCCGCTTCCTGGAGGGCAAGATCAAGGTGCGCGCTGTGCCCGGGCCGGGAGACCCTGAGGGCAGACCGCTGGCAGCGGGAGAGTGGCCGATGCTGCCCCACTCCGCGGGGAGCGCGGGGGCGCCCTGGGCCTGTGGGCTGGGGCCGTGGGCGCCGCATCCCTGACCCCGCCCCCCGCCCTCCAGCCCCACCTGATGAGCCAGGAGCTGCCCGAGGACTGGGACAAGCAGCCTGTGAAAGTGTTGGTGGGGAAGAACTTTGAAGAGGTTGCTTTTGACGAGAAGAAGAACGTGTTTGTGGAGTTCTGTGAGTGCACCTCGCCCTGGGTTTGTGGGCGCCCGGGCGGGGGTGGCCCCCTGGCCCCGCGGGACTCAGCCCTGCTCGCTTCTGACGCTTCCAGACGCCCCGTGGTGCGGCCACTGCAAACAGCTGGCTCCCATTTGGGATAAGCTGGGAGAGACGTACAAGGACCACGAAAACATCGTCATCGCCAAGATGGACTCCACAGCCAACGAGGTGGAGGCCGTCAAAGTGCACAGCTTCCCGACGCTCAAGTTCTTCCCCGCTGGCGCCGAGCGGACGGTGCGCCTGGGGCGGCAGGGCGGGTGCGGGGGGCGCAGCGGGGCCGCCCTTGAAGCCCCCGCTTTCTATGGGGCGGGGGAGGCGCTGCCCGGGGTCGGCCTCTCATCGCCCTCCCCACAGGTCATCGATTACAACGGGGAGCGGACGCTAGACGGTTTTAAGAAGTTTCTGGAGAGCGGTGGCCAGGACGGGGCAGGGGATGACGACGTAAGTGGTGCCTCAGGGCCCGGTGTGTGGGCCCACGGACACGGGCACGGGGCTGGAGGGCCTCCCCTCCCCTCAGCACGCGTGCGCGGGGCGGCGTGCAAGGGCGTCGCAGCGCTGGTGTTTGCTTCCGAGGTTGTCTCACTCGGTTCCCTGCCGGCCTCTCCTGTCCTTCCCCAGCCCCTTGCCTGAGGCTCCCCATGTCAGTTGTGGTCAGCTCTGGGGGAGCAGAGGGTACGTCAGGCTTGGTCCCAAGACGAGGGGGCGTGGTGGGGATGGGGCTGGTGACGAGCAGGACATTGGTGGCGAGAGCGGTTGCCACAGTCGGCTCAGGCCAGCAGGGGCCCCGGCAGCCCTGGGGAGAGAGCCGCTCGGCCACGGCGCTGGGTGAGGGCCTGAGGGCCGGAGGGGGCGGGGTCTGCGTGGGGGGAGGCCGGTGTGCAGATGTCGGGGGCGGGCCCTGACCTCCGCGCCCGCCTGGTCCCTCCGACCCAGGACCTGGAAGACCTGGAGGAAGCGGAGGAGCCTGACCTGGAGGAGGACGAGGACCACAAAGCTGTGAAAGACGAACTGTGAGGCGGAGACCAGCCCAACGCCCCGACAGGCCCCCCGCAGCAGCGCCTCCGGCCGCGCGCCCTCCTGGGAGGATGGAGCCCCAATCGGAAATGCAGGGAACTTTCTGAAGCAACACTTCGCCCTAACACACGTGTACATTTAACCCCGTCTCTTCCCTCTGCTTTCAGGTTTTGGAAGGGACCGCTCTCCAGGCCAGCCCGTCTAGGTGGCCTTTTTTATTGTGATGTACTTTTTTGTACACAGTTTTGTCCAGAGCGCTCGCTAAAATGTTTTGGAGTCTCCCTCTGGCAATGTCGCCTTCCTGTTAGGCTCATTATTCTATCACTTCAACAAGATGCCGCCTGCGGGGTTTTTAGACATTTTGGGATGTCAGGGTGTCTGTCCCACCTTGGCCGGGCCGCCCTGGAGACAGACGTCCCCTGCGTGGAGAGGGACCGCGCCAGGCTGGACAGGCCCCTCACCTGTGCCAGTGTCGCCGTGACTGCGCGTGGCTCTTGCGTCATCAGGTTAATGGGGGCTTCAGGCCTCTGCCGCTGGGGCCCCACCGTGACGGAGGGGCCGTGGGCACCGGCAGGGCCAGGTCAGGTCCCTCCCAGAGCTGGCCCCCAGCTGCTCCAACTCCGGTTGTCTGTCCCACCTTGGCCATGCCGTGCGGAGCCCGGCCCCCCGCTTCCAGGCTGGGCAACAGCCAGGGATGCTGACCCAGTCGGCTGTCGGCAGTTCTTCAGGCATTTCTACCACAAGATTGGAATTGGACACATTGGCCAAATAAAGTTGAAATTTGACCGCCTGCCTCTGCTTCACAATCTCCAGGCCACGGGGTGGGGCCTCTGAAGGGGGCGGGGGTAGGGGGCGGGCAGCCACAGTCTCTGAGACACTGCTGGGGTTTAGGGAGCAAGACGCAAGCTTGAAGCACCCGGGACCCTTGGCCACTGCCCACCTGTCATGCAGCACAGGGCCTGGGCGCACATGCAGGTCACCAGCGGGAGGGGCAGGGCTGCCACCCGCCCGGCTCACCGGTTGCGAGTGTGGCCAGCGGAGTCCTCCCTGGCCATCTGGGCATCGTGAGGCGCGGAGCCAGCCAGGCCACAAGCGTGGGCCGCTGTGCAGTGACTGGTCTCTCCCCACCACACCTGCAACTGCTGCGGGGTCTGGCGGAAAGTCGGCATTCCAGCTGCACAAACGGGCAAAACAGCACAGCCCTGCGCTGGGCACAAAAAGCCCACAACGAAGACAGAACGCCCCCGGTTCTGAAACGCATCCTGGCTCAGAGGCTCGGCTTGTGGTCTGCTGCGCAGAGAGGCACACGGAGGCCTGAAGGTGCCGTGGGCCACCGTGTGGGGCCGAGGGGGCCTGAGGGCCTGGGTCGGGGCACCTCGGGCCTGCACTGCCTGCCTCAGCTCGGGCGCGCCCTTAGGGACCGCGGTGGGGGCTCACGGTCCTTCGCGCTCTGCACACCCGCAGGGCAGGTGGGGCAGGAGGGCGCCCCAGGCGTCCTTGGAGGAGGGAACAGAGGCTGGGGACAGAGCCCCCGGGAAAGCCTGCGTGGTCCACCAAGGCCTCCTCCCCGGCTGCTGCCTGGAGCCAGAGGCCTGGGTGTTGCCCATCCAGGCTAGCGCCCCCTGCTGGTGGGGGCTTCCAGACACCAGCTTCCCCGCCAGCAGACGCGCCACAGGGCTTGCTGTGGACGTGGTTCTCTCGGCAGCCGCAGCCCGCAGGGGGGTGGGGGTGCTGTCTCCTTCACGACCGCCTCCCTCCCAGCAGGAGGCCCTTGCGCCCGCCTTGCCCTCGCAACCCCGCCGTCAGTGCCACCTCGCCCCCGGGGGCCCGGGGCGGCTCCTGCCGGTGGCAGGCGCGCGGCCAGGTCCGCAGCAAGGACCCCGTGTGAGCCCCGGGCAGCACCGCCGGACCCAGCCCGTCCCCACCCCGCGCTCGGCAGCTGGGTCCTTCGCCGGTTCCAGGGCCGCCCCTCAGCCAGTCTGCCCGGGGCCAGCGCGCCGTGAGCCTGGGGCCTGCCGACCACGACGCGTGCCCAGGGTGGAGCCGCCGGGGAGTCGGCTCTGCCGCCCGAAGCGGCGCGGTCCTCGCCCCACAAGCCATCAGGGCCACAGCCGCAGGGTCAGGTGGTGTCCAGCCCTGTGCCCCCCGCCAAGCAGGGACCCGTGGCGCCCCAAGGGAGCCTGCCCTCCGCACAGGCCCGTGCTCCAGAGGGGGTGTCCCCGCCTCCGGTCTCTGCAGAGGCTGCGGGGGGAGTCCAAGACCCGCCAGGGCCGCTGGGTGAGCAGGGCAGCCTCGCAGGCTCCAAGGCCTGGGCTTCACAGCCTCCGTGCTCCGCCCCCCCCCCAGGTGGTAGGAAGCCACGCCCCTGGAGTCCGGACCAGGGGCTGCTGGGCCTGGGCAGCGGCCCCTCGAGGGGCCGGCCTCCCGGGCTGTGGGCAGGGACACGCTGGGGTGGGCTGGCTCCACTCCCCTGCCGGAGGTTGAGCCCTGGGGAGGGGGGGTGGGGGGGGACGCCTTGGCCTTTTCAAAGCGAGCTTCCCGCGTCCGCCCTCTAGATGGCAGAAACTTAAAGTCATGCGAGCCAGCCACTTGACAGGTTCCACGGGCTGAGGAGGGGCAGGGCAGAGCCGCCTAAGCAGACCCAGGCTCGGCCCTGGCGCGCTGCGTGAAACGCAGGCTGTGCCGGCGTGGGCGCTCGCTCACGGCCAGCTCCCGACGAAAGGCCGGCAAGGTGCCAGCCGCAGGTCGTACCCACACTTCCTTGTCCACAAATACCTTCTAGAGGGTCCGTTGTGACCAGGAGGCTCTGGACACCCGCCCCTTCTTCGATGGCGACAGCAGTGCCACCGAGCTCCCGGCTTGCTGTGAGCGGGTAGGCAGGGGGGCCCTCGGGGAGCCGCCGCCACAGCCACCCCGCGGGCTCGCCCGGCCCGCCTCTGGCCCAGGTCCCGGTCCTCGTGGGGAGGGCTGTGCGCCGGTGGCAGCTCCGCCTGCCGTTCTTTCATCCGATCCTCTGAGCGGGGAGGACGGACAGAACTTTCCACAGCACCGGAAAAAATAACCTTCACACCAAAGGAAAGTTCCGTCTCCTGTCCACCAGCTAGGACTTTCAGTCTCTGCGCTTCGCGTAAATAAGCCAGGAGAAACTGGACCTGGCTCCTCCCCGGTGACCAGGAGGAGTGGGACCGCCGTGCGTCCTCCGAGCCCCAGGGGCCGGGACGCTGGGCACCGCCCTTCTGCCGGAGGAGGCGGCCCACGGCCCGCGGGTCTGGGGTCACGAGGCCGATGGAGAAAACCCGCGGGGCCGGGAGGCCACCTGGGAGTCCGGTCCCTCCACAACATGTGGCCCAAGGCTTTGCGCCCAGAGGGTGTGAAATGCAGGGGCGGACAAGTGTGGGTGAAGGTACCGGCCACCGTAACCTACAAGATAAATGTGAGGGTACCAAACTGTAACAATGAGGTGACAAATAATACAAATAAATAACAATTAGTCAATGATAACACAGAATAAACTTTTTCACGTGCTCACAACTGCAAACCTCCTTTTGCCCGCCCCATCCATTTACTGATTTGATTGCGTTGGACCAAGACCAGCTTGGGGGCCGAGGGGAGCTGGTGACCCCCTGCCGGCCCCAGCCCCGAGGGCTCTGCCGGCCGGCCTCGCCTTTGGCCTCACTCGGCCTTCAGGGACCTCCCGGGGGGGGGATCTGCCCGCGGTCAGGGCTTCCCCTGCACCCCCCAGGAGTCACATGTTGAGGTGCTGACCGCAGGACCTCAGGAGGGCCCCTTGTTTGGAAAAGAGGTTGATGCAAATGTACTTGTTCAAGATGAGGTCTGCCTGGAGCAGGGGAAGGGGACGGGGGGGGGGGGGGTCCCTACTCCACGGGCTGGCATCCTTATGAAAAAGCGAATTTGGGACACAGACACCCTCCCGGGGACCATGCGGGGGGGCGGCACACTGAAGCAGAGAGCTCCCGGGACTCCTGCAGAGCCCGCAGGAGCCGACGCTGCCCGCGCCTTTTCCCGGCCTCCCGGACCGGGAGGGAACCAAGCCCGGCTGTTCCAGGCCCCAAGCCTGGCTCCTTGCCGCAGCAGCACTCGCCGACCTCGTGGCCTGCCCTGGGCGTGCGGGGCTGTCCTGGTCCTGTGGCCGCGCTCCTGGCCAGCCCACGCAGCTCCCACAGGCGGTCGAGGCCCCCATCTCTGCCGCGGGCTCCTCTCCCGCACCCAGGCCCACGCCCCACGCCCCACCTCAGGCCTTGGCCGCTGCCGAGAAGGCAGGTGGCTTCGGCCCAGCCGGTTGGACCGTCCTCTAAAAATTCCACTGGCTGTGCTCCCACAGGTACGTCGGCCCCGGGCCAGCTGCAAAGGGCACCCCCCCCAACCCCGGGACGTGATGGTCTGTCCTTGGGGCACAGACTCAAGGCCCCTTCGGGGCGAGCACATGTCCAGCCAGTGGCCGGGAGCTGGAACCAGAACTGGGGGGTTGGGACAGGTCGGGAAGACGAACAGGCCATGTGGGCGTGGCCTGCAGGAGGTTTCCGGGGTGTGCGGTGCTGAGACGAGATGTTCAAACTTGCCTGGGAGGCTCCCCAGCAGGAAGGCAGAACCACCGAGGCCCATATTTTGGTCAAAGTGCCAAGAGCAGTCCAGCCATAACGGAAGACGCCCTGACAGGGAAGGAGACGGGTCGGCCCAGGCGGGGCCTCCCTCCAGCTTGGTCAGCAGCACCCGAACTTCCTCAGGCGTGGGCAGCCCTCGCCGTTGGGGAGGTGGAGGCGCTGTCCCCTCCGGACGCTACGCCCCTCTCCCGGGCTTCCGGCCGGACCGCGGCCGCCCTCGGTAGCGGGCTGCCTGCCTTGCAGGCCGTCTTCCTGGTGCTCTCAGGAAGGCACCTTCTAGGTCCAGCTCCGGGGCCGGGTGCAACGGCGAGCCAGGGAGGACCTGACCCCTTTGGCCGGGCACAGCGACAGGTGGGCTGAAAGATGAGCCACTGAACTCGATCTGAGCTCGGGGCGGGGAGCGGCTCGGTTTCAGGCCCTTGTGGCGCAAGGGTGACCACGCGGCTTTATATAGCTCCGCGGGGCCCATATAAGCGGGAGCTGCTCTTGCAGAAGGGACACAGGGAGCGACTCGGTGGCCGTGCTGGAAGCCACTGTCCTAGGCTCGAGGACCCTGCCCACCAGTCTGGGTGGGGCCGGGCACCTTCCTCCCCCCGAGCAGTAGGGTCCTCGCCGGGTGGCCCGCGCCACAGCCCCCAGGATGCCCAGCAGAACTGTCCGCTACGTCCGCTACAGCCCGCGGCAGCGGCGGCGGCGGATGCTGGCCCAGCGCAGTGTGCGCTTCCCCAACGACGTGCTCTTCCTGGACCACATCCGCCAGGGCGACCTGGAGCAGGTGGGGCGCTTCCTCCGGGCCCGGAAAGTGGCCCTGGACACCATCCACCCCTCGGGTGAGTGCCTGGGGGGCCAGCCGAGGGCCTGGGGGGCGGTGGGGAGGAGGGCCCCGCCGTGACCCCGCCGGTCCTGTCTGCGCAGGCCTGGCAGCCCTGCATGAAGCCGTCCTGTCTGGAAACCTGGAGTGTGTGAAGCTGCTGGTCAAACACGGGGCCGACATCCACCAGCGCGACGAGACGGGCTGGACACCCCTGCACATCGCCTGCAGCGATGGGCACCCCGACATCGCCAGGTGAGAGGCGCAGCCGGCGGCTCCTGCCCACCCAGGACGTGGCCTCCAAACGCCGGCCCTGGAGATATAGTTAAGAAGCCGAAGGGCTGCGGGAAACTCCTTTCTGCCCTGTCCCCCTCCCTAGAGCAGGTCGGGAAAGTCAGCCACAGCTTCTGAAAGGTCAGGTTTCTCACCCTTCACCCCACCTGGAAAAAGGAAAAACATGTGGACCTCAGGGCCCCAGCCGGCACTCCTGGCCTTTGGGGGGGGGGGTTCCCCAGGCCATGTGCCCAGTGCAACGGGGGCGGCCCTTTGCACCCCAGGTACCTCATCTCCCTGGGCGCAGACAGAGAGGCAGTTAACGACGACGGCGACCTGCCCTCCGACCTCATTGACCCGGACTTCAAGGACCTGGTGGAGCTCTTCAAGGGGACCAGGATGGACTGAGCCCAGCCCTGTCCGCCCACGGCTCGCACCCTGCCCCACCGCGGGGCCGCGGCGGCCAGGACCCCGCTCGCTGGACACAACCCCCGTCCCCACCTCTGGTCTGGCTTTTTCTCCAGGCGAATTTTTTATTGTTGCACTTTTTACTTTTTCAATAAACACGATGCCTCAGCCCGTGGTGGTGCCTTTATTGCTGGAGACGCGCGCCCGTCCCGGTCCCCGGCTCCAGCCGCTCCCGGCGGTCAGCAGGGCCCGACGTCCACGCCGGGCCAGGGCCCCCCGAGCCCCGCAGGTCCCGACACGGCGGCCCTGTCGCCCCGCGCGCCGGGCGTCACGTGGCGCGCCTGGCCCTGCGCGTGCGCGGCGCGCGTCACTTCCGGCCGGGCCCCAGCTGGCGGAGGCGGCGGCGGCTGAGCGGCGAGGTGAGGCGGCAGCGGCGGGGGCGGAGCGGGCGCGGTCGGGACCCGCCCTGGTGCGGAGGCCGCGAGGGGAGGGCCGGGGCGGGTCGCGGAGCCCGCGCGCCCCACCCACCCCGCCCCGCGCCCGGGCCTGCTGGGGGCGCCCGCCGCGGCGGCGCGGGAGCCGGGGGCGTGCGGGACGTGGCGCCCGGGCCGCGGGGCGGGGCCGGGCCGGGCGCGGCGGCCGGTCGCAGCGGCCGGGCCCGGGGTCCGAGGCGCCGTCTCCGGCCTCAGAGGAGCCCTTGGAGCGCGCACCCGGCCGGGCCCGCTGCAGCCTCTCTTCCTGAGCGTTCTGCTGCCCCACCCCTGCCTTCCGGGCCGGGGCGTGCGGGGCCGGTGCGGACGAAAAGCGGGCTGCGCGGCCTGCCCCGCCCTCGCGGCGCGCGGGGCACGGGGCGGCCGCGGCGGGTGGTGCACCGGGTGTCCCCGCAGGGCGCAACTGCCCGGGTGGAAACCGTGGGTACCCCACTTGTCCTTACAGAGGCAGCCCTGGTCGTACAAACACTCCAGGTCGTGGGCAGGTGCGAGTGTAGCGCATCCCCCGTCACCCCGTCCTGTCTCGGGGGAGTTCCAAGAGAAAGTGGTCTTTTAGCTGGAACCCGGAGGGAGGACAGTGGTTGGGGCGGAGGGGACAGCCTGCGCCAAGTTCCGCAGGTGTTTGAGGGCAGCAGAGGGCGACCCTTGGGGTTGAGAGCTTTGAGGAGGACTGGGGCCTGGGCGGAGTCCTGGGGCCTGGACGGAGTCCTGAAGGGCGTGGGGGGGTTTTGGGGTGGTGGGATTTTCGAGGGGTGTGGAGGGGGTGAACGCGCTCAGGTCTGCTGCCCGGGACCGGAGATGCCGTTGTAACCGGGGAAAGTGGGGCCAGGGCTGGAGCACTGCTTGGAGGTCCTGCCCCCGCGTGTTCGGGCACCGGCTGCCCTCTTTGGGGTCCAGCTCAGCGGCATCCTGCTGGCACTGCCTGGGTGGTAGACGGCTTTCTGGACGCCTCATTGGTTGGCACTGGGCTGGTAAGAGCCCCACACACAGAATGAGAGCAGACGTGGAACCTAAGAAGGTATGAGTCTCGGAAATTCCGAGGGACACAGAGCGCCCAGCCGTTGCCTCATTGGTTCTCACTCCGCAGTGCCCGCCGCCGCTGCTCTGGACAGCCGAGCGTTTCCTCTCCTGCCTGCAGGCGTGTGGCTGTTGGGGGGACAGGGAAGAGCTTGAGACAGGGGCAACAGAGGCCAGGCTTGGGGCCCCCCGCCTGTCCCCAGGAGGTCTCAAGCCCACGGAAGAGCAAGGTACTGCACAGCTCCACCAGGAAGGCTCCCTCCACAGCCTGAGCCGGACCACATGGAAGTGGGGGGACAGACCTGGCTGCCTCGGCCCTGGAGGCCCGCAGGTCGGGTGGGGGCCGCACTTGGCCGAGTGGCAGGCTGCTTCACCGCCGAACCCCCGCCGTCGGGGCCGCGAAGGCCCCCTGTTTTTGGCCCTGCGTTTCTCTGGGCCTCCCCCCACCCCGCTGAGTGGGCTGGGGCTGGCTCCGCGTGGCCCAGAGCCGTCCTGGTACACGCGTCGCCATCAGCTGCGTCCCCCTCCATCTCAGCAGTGCCCGGTCAGACGGCGCGCCCCCTCTGGCTGCCCGGTCTGTCATGTGAGGGGTGAAAGCCGCAGAGCTCTCCTTCGAGTGGTGGCACCACGGGCCGTGCCCTGCTGGTGAGTGCCTTTGGGGGCCGCTGGGGCTCCTGCGAGGATGCTGAGGCCCAGAGAGGGGAGGGGCTTGCCCAGGGCAGCAGGGATGGGCCGTGGCTCGGGACCCTGTGTGTGCCCAGCACGCAGCCCTCCAGGTGCTTGGGCAGCAGCGGCCACAGTCAGCAGGGCGCAGCGTGGGCTGGGGGGACTCCGCGCTGACAGCAGCAGGCAGAGGGGGCCCTGTGGCAAAGACTGTGTTGGGGGTAGACCGGGGCCAGCAGCTGGTGACACCCGATGAAACAGATTGGGGCCAGACCGAGGGCTTGACGGCCGTAGAGGCCCCGGGGGCGCCTGGGTGGCAAGCGACTGGGGAAGTGGCCGTCGGTCAGGTTGTGCCGGCAGCGGGCGCACAGGGGAAGGGAGGGAGGTGCAGGCGGCCGGCCCTTCAGGGGGCGGTCCTCGCCCCCTGGCGCCCTGGGAAGCGGGAGAAGTGACCAGAGCACCGTGGCGGAGGCGCTGGGCCAAGGGGAGACGGTGACGGTGTTTCCGCTCCGAGACACGGGTCCTGTGGGCTCAGGTTGCACTGCGAAGGGAAGGCGCAGGCCCAGCCCCAGCGCCCGGAGAACCGGGAAGCAGTCTCAGGGCGACGGCACGCGGTAGCCGTAGGTCCCGAGCTGAGCTCGAGAGGCGAGGCAGCTGTGTCGGAGGATGACACTTCTGAGAGAGGGGGAGGGTCTGAGGAGAGGCAGCCCCCGCCCTCATCCCTGGCGTGGCTCCGGGGGTTCCTGGATGCAGGCCGTGCCCACCCCTCCCCCGACCCATACCTGAGCGCCTGGTCTCTGTCCTGCCAGACTTCAGCCCCTGCCCTCACCGGAGCCCTCGGTGGCTTTCGTGGGTCCCCTTAGGTGTCCCTCGTGCCCTTCCAGGCCGGTGCTGTTCTCTCCAGCGCCTTGGTGGCTGGCCCCTCCACGCCTGCCCTTCGGTGGCCCTGCTCAGCACTTTCCTTGCTGGAAAACACACTCAGGTTGCCTTTCGCTCTGCCGGACGCACACCACATGGGCCTGCAGCTGGTGCCAGCGCTGCGCACCGGCCTCTGGGCCCGCCCCCATCCCCCTCTGCTCCCCCACCCGCTAGGCCGTCCTGGCAGAGGCCCCCGGGGGCTCTGCTGTGCTGGTCCAGACGCGCACTCAGCCCAGGTCTTCACCTCCGCCTCCTCCATGCACTGGAATGGCTGTCACAGGCGTGCATGTTTGTTTGATTTTTAAGATTTTATTTATTTACTTTTAGAGAGAAGGGAAGGGAGAGAGAAACATCTACCTGATACGTTGATTAGTTGCTTCTCGCGCGCCCCCTACTGGGGACTTGGCCCACAACCCAGGCCTGTGCTCTGACTGGGAATCAAACCAGCCACCCTTTGGTTCATAGGCCGGTGCTCGATCCACTGGGCCATGCCAGCCAGGGCTCGTTTGATTTTTAATAAACATTTTCTTTGGGTCAGAACTGGGCTCAGCTCCGTGGAAGACACCCAGGGGTGATGTAGGCGCGCGAGCTGTCTCCAAGGGAGCAGCCGGTGCCCGGCCCCCGGGAAGCTACCAGCACGTCCACCTGGTGCCTTGGTGCCCGGAGCCCTGCCCGGCGGCAGGGTCTTGGCAGGGCCGGGCCAGCAGAGGCTCTGGTGAGAAAGGCCCGGGCAGGAAGCTGAGCTGTGTGAGAAGTGGGGACCCGGAGGTTGCTCCCATCTGGGAAGGCCGGTTGGTAGGACGCAGGCTGTTAAAGTCAGGCCGTGGGGTAACCCTCCCACCTTCCCACCTTGAGAGGAAGCAGGCAGTGGCTCCTTTGAAAACGTTGCTTTATTTGCTCTTCAAGTCTGATGGGCGTGAGAACCTGTTGCGTGTCTGGTCCCCAGGAGCAGGGTCTCCCAGGGCATCTGACTGGGGGCCTCGGTGACGGCGCTCGGCCTCAGGCCCAGGAGCGGCACCTCCTCCGTGAGCTCCTGGTCTCGCCAGGAAGCCCAGCCAGTGGGGGGTGGCTTGCGGCGGGTCCCCAACACAGACCAAGGGTTCTGCGGGACTGGGGCTCAGCTCGCGGGCCCTGCCCCTGCAGGCCAGTTGCTCTGGGCCCAGCCCAGCCAGGCCTGGGGACCACAGAGGCGAAGGGGAGCGGGGCGGCTCCAGGCTGTGGCTGGAGGAGGCCGCGGCCGCAGCAGCTGCGCTGGGTGCAGAGGTGGGGTGGGCGAGGCTGCCGGGGCAGGTGCCCCCGAGAGGTGGCTAAGTGGGGGGCCGGCTGCCCGAGGCCGGGACCCTGGGTGAGGAGAGGCGAGGGCCGGGCCCCTGGCGGCACCTCCATCCTGGAGCAGAACTGGAGCTCCCCCCCTGCTCAGGGCCAGCAGCCCCTTGAGCGAGCGCCCCAGGACGCCACCCCCCGTGCCCCCACGTGGTGGCCTGGGCAGGATCGCAGGTGGAGGCTGCTGGTCTGGGGGCAGGGCAGGGCTCCTCGTGCTCACGGGAGGCTGGTTTTGTGCCGTGCTGCTGTGTGTGACTTGGCCTGCGGGTGTTTCAGTGCTGCGTGGTGAGCGGGGGAAGGCCCCCGCACTGCCTTCGCCCGGCCTGCCGGCGGGGGCTGCGGCTTGCACTTAGCACGGTTCCAGGGTCGGCGGGGGAGGCCCTTGCGCTCAGAGCCCCATCCTACGGCTCCCCCACCCCCCTCTGGGCAAGCTCTGGGGCAAGGCCAGGCTGGGACCAGTCCTGTCCAGCTGGCGAGTCTGAGAGCAAACCTAAAAATAGGCTCCCACCCAGGGCTCTAAAATCCCCTGGGCAGAGAGGGTATAAACAGGCCATGCCAGGGTCTCGGTCACTGGGTCAGGCGCGGCCAGCAGCTTCCTCTCTGCTCACACCCCTCCCCCAGCCCGCCTGCCCTGCTGGCTTCTGCGTCCCCTGCACCCGCTCCCTCAGAGGGGCCTCCGGGACCAGGAAGCTGGGCAGGTTTCTGCGCAGGCTCCCTGTGTCCTCACCACTTAGGAAGCACGTCCTCACCTTGCAGATGAGGACTGAGGCCTGCGGAAACAACACGCCAGGCTCTGTGGACAGAGCTGGGGTCCACGGAAGGGGAGCCCCGTGGCTCTGGAGGCGAGCTGTCACGGAGCAGACAGCACCTGGCCGGGGGAGGGGGCCGCCCGGGCGGCGGCGGTCCAGGGACTGGGGGCTCAGGCTGCTCCCAGGAATGTGTGTCGCTGCCCCGGCCCTGGGCTCCCCCGAGTCGAGGCTGCCGCCTCGGCAGCTGGACACCCCTCGAAGCCCTTGGTGACAGTGAGGTCACAACAGCTTGTCAGCCGCACACAGGGAGGAGGCTGACACGCCCCACGCCCCTCCGGTCTCTGAAGCCCCTGGGGAGAGGCTGACGCTGTGTCCCGTGCCCCGGGCTTCCCTTCCAGAGGCTGAGGGGATCTGGCGGCGGAGCGGGAAGCCCAGACGCCCCAGCGATGACCAGGTGAGTCTCAGGCGGCGGGGCGGACTCTTTCGGGGGGTGAGCGGGTGGGACCCCTTGCCCCCGACGCCCCTCACCAGCCAGGCCCCCCAGCTCCCCTGTCTCCAGAGTCGTCTACAACGGCAAGAGGAACAGCAGCCCCCGCGCCCCCCCCAGCAGCAGCGAGATCTTCACGCCGGCCCACGAGGAGAACGTGCGCTTCATTTACGAAGGTGCGGCGCCCCGCCTGCCCCTGCCCTCGCCTCCCCTCTCCTCCCGCAGCCACTGTGATTCCCAGGGGCCGCCCCCACCCCCAGCAGAGGCAGCACGTGGAGCTGGTGGCGTTCTCTCGGGGAGGGGGCGCTGTGGAAGGCGGATGCACACTCTGGGGGAGCCCAGCGTGGAGGCTGTGTGCGGGAGGGCCGCCCGGGGTGAGCGCTGCGCCCGGCCGGCCACCTGCACCTCTGCGCCTGTAGCCCTGGCCCCCACGTGGCTGGGCTGGTCCCGGCAGGGCTTCCTGAGGGGGGGTACGCGCTGGGGGCGACTCCAGGCCCACAGCGGGGCAGTCTGGGGGCGAGATGCTGAGAGGAGGGAGATTGGGGGGCTGGGCGAGGGCCTGCGAAGACCCCCTGAGGGATTGGGGGAAGGGGGACCGGGGGGGCTCTGCCGCTGGGCAGGGGCTTCTGACCAGCCGCTCCTTCCCGCAGCCTGGCAGGGTGTGGAGCGGGACCTCCGGAGCCAGATCCCGGGCAGCGAGCGGGGCCTGGTGGAGGAGTACGTGGAGAAGGTCCCGAACCCCAGCCTGAAGAGTGAGTGGGCAGGCCGGGCGGGGCTGCCGCTTCCTGTCCCCGGTGGAGGCGGCTGGCTGGGTGGCTGGGCCCCGGGGCCGCCCGAGGCAGGTGCAGGAGCTGGGCGAAGCTGCCCTCCTGTGCCCCTGCTGACCAGCCTGTGTCTGTGCAGCCTTCAAGCCCATCGACCTGAGCGACCTGAAGCGCCGGACCACGCAGGATGCCAAGAAGTCCTAGAGCCCCCACGGGGCCCCCGCGGGCCTCCGGGAGATCCGGCGGCAGCCTGACGCTGGTCCGCCCTCCTGTGGGCCCAGCTCCTGGGAGCGGGGACGGGGCCGTGCCTCCAGGGGGCCACAGGCCCTGGGACCGGGACAGCTCCACTGGGGAGGGGGGCCGCGGCCTGCCCCTGCTTCCCCCGCTGCTGCCTCCCCTCTCGGGGGTCTCCGCTGCCAGACACGGGGAGGGCCTGGGCCCCGCCAGCCCCTGAGCCCTCGGCCACTGTGGCCCAGGTGTCTGGAGCCCCCTGGCCCTGCCTGCCCCCGGGGCCTTGACCCGGACTCCCCTGCCCTTCCCTCCTCTCCGCTGCCCCACCGAGCCCCGGCCACTTCCAGGGTCAGGGCAGAGATGAGGGAGCTGCTGCCCCCGGGCCCGTGGGCCTGTGGACCCGAGTGCCACGTTGGTCCCTGAGGTGGCCGGCGGGCGGGGCGAGGGCAGCCCCGCCAGGCCGGCGGGGTCTCACCTGGCTGCTCCTCTGGCCTAGACACGGGAAGTGTGTGGCCCTCCCTGCCCCCACTGCCCCGCCGGGCCCCTTCCCTCCTGCGTTAGCTTCTGGGTGGCACGGGCCCTGCAGCCCGGGACGCTGCTGGCGCCCCCACAGGGTCCTGGTGCCAGGCCTGGCCCTGGTGGCTGCGGCACCCAGGGCAGGACTGTGAGGCGCCGGGCGGGTCCTGTGTGTGCTGTGTGCTGGGGGGGCACTGGGGCCCCTTTCCCTGTGACTGGAGCCCGGGACCGGAGAATAAAGACGGGCAGCCCGTGCAGGGCCGGACACCCGAGTTCGTGGTCAAGGCCCTTGAGCCCGCCAGGGCTCCACCTCCTGGGGCGGCGGGGGCTCCTGGGGAGCGGGCGTGGGCGGCCTCTGCGGGCCTGGAGCTGCCCCGAGGGCACCTGACCTGCAGACCTGGAGAGCTGTGGCCGACCAGCCAGACGAGCCCAGCCCAGCCAGAGTTTATTTTGGGAACGTCGTTTCCCAGAAGAGTATTTTGGGGCTGGATGGGCCCCACAGGTGGCTCTGGAGACATCTTTTCCTGGGAGTGGTTCCCCAGAGCTGGGGCGCGGGAGGTGGGGTGTGTGTGTGTGTGTGTGTAGCTACCTTTACAGAAGGGGAGAGGGAAACATTGATTTGTTGTCCCACTTACTTGACACAGATTCCTGTGTGTGCCCTGCCCGGGGATCAAACCTACAACCCTGAAGTATAGGGACGATGCTCTAACCACGGAGCCACCCGTCCGGGGCCTGAGGGTTCCGATAATAAACAGCCACCCAGGCTCCCTGCCAGTGGGTGCTGGCTGGTGCCAGGCACTGAGCTAATTCCCATAACCCCGCGGCCTCCGCTGCACCCCGGGACCTGCGGGGGCTTTAATGCCCAGGAGCCGGGCTACTTGGGCTGCGCCCACGGCCTGGGCCTGGGAAGGGGGAGCGGGCGCCCTCCAGCGGCGGTGCGAGGGGCCAGGTGGGCAGGCCGCCGCCTCGCCTGGACCACTGAGGGGGCTGGAGAGGCGGGGCTGAGGCCCCGCCCCCGGGCTGTCCTCGGCGGCCAGCGGGGTACGGCCCGTCAGGCGGGCGCCGGGGGGCGGGCTGGACTCAGGCGGCCGTCGCGGCGCGCGCGACCTGGAGCCGCGCGCGGAATCTCGGCCCGCGTCCCCTCACGGGGAGGCTCCCCGCGCTGCGGCGGCCGCTGCCGGTCGCCTCGCGAGTGCACGGGCAGGGCCCTCGGCCTCGGCACGGCGGACGCAGCCGGGGGACTGGACCCGCCTTGCTGCGAGCCCCCGGGGGCGCTGCGCCGCCTCCCGGCAGGCGGGCCCCGCCCGAGAAGGAGCGGGCCGAAGGGACGCCAGCGCCTCTGGGCGGCGCGTCGGGGAAGGTCCGCTGTCGCCGTATTAGGTGAAAGTGGACTTCATTTCACCGCCAAGCCCCCTCTGGGTCTTCCGTCCCTCCTGTGGGGGTGAGAAGGGGACACCGGCCCTGCGCCCTCCAGGGCGGCAACGAGCTCGCCCTGCCAAGAGCCGGCCACACCCCCAACAGGGGCGGCCCCGGGGCACCCCGAGGCCGTTTCTCGCGCACGTCCCTGCCAGTCCAGCTTTCCTGCGCTGCCCGGGCGGCCCTGGGCCGGGATGCGGCCCGTGTCCTGGTGGGACGGGGGTGCATCCACTTGTCCGTCTCGGCAGCGCGTGACACCCCTGCCTGACGGCTCCGTGGGCACGTTAATCGCCCTGGCCTCCAGCGTGGGCGCGGCGTCCTACGCTGACCCATGCGCTTTTGTTTCCTCCCAACGCGCGTGCAGCGAGCACGGAGCCCTGGCCCGTGCCGTCCGTGGGCACTGAGGGAGGGACGCGGTGCCCAGCCGTGTCCTGGGAGGGCCTGACTCCCTGTCTTCCCGGTGGGCTCTGTCCCTTTTCCCTTCCGTTTGGGATGGAGCCCGTCCCCGCACTGGTGGGGGAGTCCCCACGTTCCGGATTTGGCGGGTCGCGCCCTGTGGTGGTGACAGGCTGCTCTGTCCCCTGCATCCCGTGGAGCGGGCGAGGCGCGGAGGCTCGTGGGCGTGTAGGAGACGCGGGGGTCAGAGGGTTTCCCCGCTGCGCTGAGCGCCTGCGGGGTTCCAGCAGCAGCAGGGACACCTGCTGGGAGGGCTCCCTGCGCAAACCGTGGGGGGACAGGGCTCAGCGTGAGCGGCGCATGGGCACAGGAGGGACCCGTGGGAGCTGGGTCGACCGTGCGGGTCAGGGAGGGCTGCGGGGCTGCACATGCAGAGTGGGAGCCGGCCGAACGTTGGCTTTTAAAGCTTGACAAAGAGGGGAGGAGAGTGGGGCCCGCCCCTGGGCAGCACGGTCAGGGAGGGGACAAGGGACTGAGCCGTGGGGAGCGGGGCGGGGGGGGGCGGCGAGCCTTCTCCTGCCCGCCCCACCCCCACCCAGAGGCAGCTGCTCCCAGCCCCACCAAACCGGTCTTCGCTTTGTATTTCTATTTCCATTTCCGAAGAGCAGACGTGGGCCGCTGCTCCTGGGTTTTCCCACTTCGCTCTCCCCAGCTCCCTCTACACCCAAGTGCCCCCCACCACAGCGCTTTCCTCTCCTGGCTTTGGTTACATCGATGCTGAGTTTACTTTAGATGTCCATGTTTGTATCAGAGCCGAGCCATGTGGTAAACTGTGATTGTTTTTTCTTTCCTGCCCAACTTTTTGTTTCCCTTATAGTTACTAATTGCCTTCTTTCATTTGTTTAGTTTCCCAGGCACTGACACTAACTAAGCCCTGAGCCCTCCACCAGGCCGAGGGCCTCGCAGTGTGTTTGATCGCTTCGACCCGCTTGGGGGTGTCTCCCCTGGGGCCTCTGCCCTGGTCACGGCCCCAGTGACGCCCTGGGCCCGGCTGACCTGGGGACCCGCCAGGGCGCCCCGAGGTTTGGGCCGCGCGTACCGAAGCCCGGGCTCTCCTCCCCTCGGTCCCCAATCCCGTTTAGTTGCGCGCACGTGCGCACACGCACAGCAGGCTGGGTGGCCGGCGCCCTTGGGGGAAGGGCCTGAGGAGGAGGACTGGGGTGGAGTTGGGGGGAGCAGAAGAGGCAGGGACGGGGCAGGGGGCCCCGGGTGTCCGTCTCCCGGGTGGGAGGGATGCTGTGTGGGCGCTGGGCCCTGAGGGAGAAAGTGGGTCCCCCACCCATCCACGCCCACCCACCTGCAGGGCTGCCGGGTCAGAGCCAGGGTTGATTGGCTGGGCAGGTCCGGCCCCGGCCGGGCCTGCCCCTCCGAGCCTGAATCCACTGGCCTGCTCTAGTTTCCTTGGGGACAGGGGCAGGGGCAAAGGAGGACAAGGGCAGACGGAGCCCGGGTGGGGGGGCCGTCGGAAGGCCCCTAGGTGAGCGCACAGCCCCGGGCGGGCACTAACCCCCAGCGCAGCCGGCGTGAAGGAGAGCTTGTGCCGGCCCTGAGCCAGCGGCGCGCACCGGCGTCTGGGCACGAGGGCTGGAGGAGGAGGGCCGGGCGGGCAGCGCCCTCACTGGTTGCAGGGGTGCAGCCCCCCACGAATGACAGGGGCCCTGGCCAACCCCCAGGGCCGCGGGAGAGCCTAGTTGCCCCCAAGTAGCCTCCCTCCCCTCATCGCTCCCCGCCTGCCGCATCTGGGGTGGGGGGGCCCGGGCAGCTGGGGGTGCAGACCCCCTCAGGAGGGCCCCAGCGCCTGTCGGTTAGTAATTCTATTTACCTTTCCTGAGAGGCCTCCTGTCCTCTCATTTGCTCCAATTAGCCGGGCTGTGCCTGAGCAGCCCCAGCCCACGTGGCCGCCGGGCAGCGGGCACACCCCCCCCAGGCTGGCGGACGCCTCCCAGCAGCGCTCGGAGCAGGGGCACCTGGCTGGCCGGCCTGGCTCTGCTTTCGGCTCCCGCCCCCCCCCCCCCCCACGCAGTACCCAGCACCACTGGGCCCCCGGTGCGGGAGGGCGCCCGACCACAGCCCCTACGTCCTGCCCTCGCCTCCGGCCCCTCTGCCAGGCCACCGTGCCGGGGGCCACGTGGACCTTAAGATGCACCCTGGGCCACTGCCCCGCCCCCTGGGGCGCACCTGGCTCTTCCTCCACCCGACACTCAGCTCGTCCCTGGCAGCGTCGGCCCCCCCCGCCGCCTGCCAAGCAAGGTGGCCGGCACCACGCGGTGGTGGCGTCCTTGCTGCGCAGGGACCCGGGGGATGCCGTGTTGTCACCTTCACCGGACCACTGTGGTTGGGGGCCCACTTCTCCCTGCTTGCACCTGCTGCGCAGCCTGGGAACTGCTCAGGGCGCTGGAGCCAGGACGAGGCGAGGACGGCCGGTCCAGGACCGGGACTGCCTGGCGCTGCCCCCTGAGCCCAAGTCCAGCACCGGCCGGGTGTCCACAGGGGCCAGGAGAAGCGTGGGGTCCGCGGCCTCCCTCGGCCACCCCCGTCACGTCCCCTTGCTGGCAAGCGGCAACCCTCTGGGAGAGCGAACAAGGGACTTCCGCTCTGGCCTGGGGTCGGGGTGAGGCCCCCTGAACCGGGTGGGACGGTGGCAGAAGCTGCTCCAGTGGGGACAGAGCGGAGCACTGCAGGCCACCAGTGCCACTTCAGGCCTCCTCAGGGCTCCGGCTCATCTGTAAATTGGGGGCGCAAGCTCCAGGGGCAGGGAGACGCCCACGTGCCGCGGCCCTGATCTCACCCTAGGCCGCCCCCCCACCAGCCCCACCGCCCAGGGCAAGCACTGCGGCCCCTGGCGCGCGAGCTCTTTATTGTCGGAGGACACACCTCTCCCCTGGCACCAGGCTCACAGACCCACGGCACCCACGGCGGGCCCTCCCCCCACACCCGGCCCCCGCCCAGCCCCAGCCGGGCACAGAGCACGTGCGGGGAGGCCCTGCCCTCAGACCGCGTCCTGGGCCGCCGCCGCTCCTTAGGGCATTGGTCCAAATTGTCCATTGGCGCCCTCTCGGCTCCTGAGTCCAGCCCCGGGTGGGGCTCCCAGGGCTTCAGAAGGGGCTCTCAGCCAACCCAGGGGTGCTGGCGGCCATGTGGGCCGCCGCAGAGGCGTCCTGGCTGGCCCCGTTGCTGGCCCGGCCCCCGGAGAGCAGCGGCTTCTCTGTGGCAGCTCCACTGGCCGGCCGGGCCGAGGCCGGGTGGCTGCCGCCCGGGTGCTCCTCCCGAAGGGCCTTGCCTGCGCGCCAACGGCGCCAGCTCCGCAGCAGCTCCGCCTGCACCTGGGGGCAGCCAGCAGGTTGGGCCAGGCCCAGGCCCCCCCGGGACCCCCGCCTCTGCCCTTGAGGGGCATGGAACACCAGCGTCTGTGGACATGGACGTTGGGCACCCCCTCACTGCGCACCCCGAGGCCAGGGCTGCTGGGGGCGGGCGTGGTGGCCAGCTGCCTGCGCCGCCCTCTGCCCCAGCATGGCTTGGCCCCAGACCCGGCCTACCTCCTTGTTGAGGAAGCAGTACAGGACGGCCACCAGCAGACCCTGCAGAGAGGGGGCAGTCAGAGGGGCCAGAGTGCGGGGCCGGCCCGGGGCAGGGGCGGGCAGTACCTGGAAGGAGCTGAGAAGGAGGTCGAAGAAGAGCTTGGCGAAGCGCAGTGTGCCCTGGGCGTGCTCGTCCGTCACGAAGGCAAACACCACTTCGTGGACCCCCAGCAGGGGGATGAGGGTCAGCGTGGACTTGGCCAGCCTGTGGGGCCCGAGCCTGAGCCACGGGCACGGGGCGTCCCCGCCCCCACCCCGCCCGGCCCCGCCCACACCCACCGGAATTTGTAGTCCGTGCGGCGCATCTGGTGGGCACGCAGCTTGGCCACGAGGATGTGAAGGATGCGGATGAAAATGAAGAAATTGATCTGCACGTGGAGGGCACAGCTCAGGGGGGCCCCGGGGCCCCCACCTGTGCCTCCTGGCTCCACAGACCCTGGGCTGGTGGGCGCCGAGCCAAGGACGGGCCGCCAGCCCCAGGCCAGGGCGCCGGCCAGTGTCCTGGCTGAGCGCCGGGGCCTCCCTCCCTGTCCACCCAGGCAGGATGCTGTCTGTCTCCTTGGCCACCGCAGGCCCACAGGGAAGGGGGGCTGAAGGCCGACCCCACGGGCCCCCCCGGGGGTGGCGGGGGCGCCGTTTCCTCACCAAAATGGCCAGGAAGACGGGGAAGCGCAGGATCCACCAGAAGCCCATATTGTTGTTGCTGGTCCAGCACCTGGAGGGCGGGCGGGGGCGGCTCACGTCCTGCCCACCCCTGCCACCCCACCCCCGAGTCCCTGGGGATCTGATCAGTGCCCGGGAAAGAAGAGGGGTCGCCCCAAAGGGCGGCACCCTGGGCACCAGGCCGGCTTGCCCCCGGCTGCGTCCAGCCAGACCGCACAGCCGCGGCCCCCGCCCCCGCCCCCGGCACCGGGAGGGGGCCGGACGGCCCCCCGGGGCGCCCCCAGGCCTCAGGTCAGCTCGTACTCACTGGACGTTCTCGAACAGACACTTGACCACCGCCCAGGGGATGACAAACAGCACGGGGGCACCTGTGGGGGCAGCAGCTGTGGCCCGAGGCTGCGGCCGGCGCGCCCCCCACGGCGCCGCCTACTCACCCCAGCCGATGCCCAGGTAGAGGGCGAAGAGGCTCCTCTCGGGGCAGGCAGCGAGGCCCAGCAGGCTGTGCAGGTACACGCCCTCCACCAGCAGCCAGCAGTAGTTGGCGACGACTCCGTACTGCATGAACACCGCGGCCACCCGGCAGCCGGCCACCGCCTGGCCGCGGCAGCGTGCAGCGCGTGAGCTCGGGCGCCCCCCCGCCCGCCGCCGCCGCCCGCCACCTGCCGCCCGCCGCGCCGGCGCCGTAGGGAGCTCACCCCATCGCTCAGCCAGCCGCTCACGCTGAGGTCGTCGCCGATCTTCTGGCTGTAGCGGGTCTTGAGCAGCGCGTCGATGACCAGCACGGAGCCGGCCCTGAGCACGAAGGACGCGAACAGGTTCACGTGGATGTAGTTCCGCGTGCAGTGCAGCCTCCTGCGGGACAGGGAGTCAGCGCCCCCACGCCGCGCCCGCCGAGGCCCCTCCCGCTCGGGGCAGGGGGCGGCGGGCGTACCTGAGGCCCAGCAGGACCGCCAGGGCCAGCAGCAGCGCCCCCAGCGAGAGGCAGTACCCCACGGTGTACATCGCCTGGAAGGTGCTGTACATCTCGGCCACCTCCTTCTGCAAGTCACAGGGCCCGGTTCGGCGGGGCTGCGCGGAGGCCCCCGCCCACCCCACGGGCGCCGCCGGCTTTGCCGCCCGGCCGCGGGCTGACCTCGACCTTGACCTCGTCCTCGTCCAGCTGGCACTGGGAGGCGTCTCTCCACGGCTGCCCCTGGGGCCCACGCACCCACTGCCCGTCAGGCCCACACCTCTTGTACACGAAGCGGTGCTGAACTGGGGGGAGGCTCTGGTCAGCGCCCCGCCCCTGCAGGACCCCCGGCCTCCCCCGAAGGCCCTCTGCCGTTACCTTTGTGGTGCCAGGGCAGGTACCAGGGGCAGGCGATGCTGGCCGTGGTGTTGGGAGGGGTGTCGGGCCAGCAGGAGTACTTGTCGAAGGTCCTGTTGCAGACCAGCTCTGCGGGGCCGGGGCCGGGGCCGGGGCTCCTCAGCCGGGCCCCCTGGGAAGCCCGGCACCGCCCTCCGCTCCCAGCATCAGCCGCCCGCCCGCGGGTCTCTCTGGCGGCTCCCCGGACCCCCGCCCTGCCTGGCCCTGAGCTCCGGCCCCCCCGACCCCCTCCCGAGACACCTCGCATCTCCAACGTGCCCCACACCCACCTGGGGCCTCGCTCCTCCCAGGGCCCTTCCTGAAGTGGCTCCCTCTCTGGGGGCTGAACCCCAATTCTGTTGGCACTCTTCCTGGGCCTGGCACCATCTGCGGTCCCCTGGCCCGCGCCCGGTGCAGGGCCCGCTCTGCCCAGACAGGGGCCGGGCCTCCCAGGCGGCTCCCTGCCGTCCAGCCCCCCTGCACCCAAGTGGCCTTCGGAGCTCGTCCCTGGGGCGCAGCTCCCCTGCCTGGGCCCTCCCCTCCTGGCCCTGTGGGGTCTGCCCGGTGGGCTTTAAGCCACGGGAGCACCTAGCGGCGGGGGGGGGGCGCCTGAGGCACCCCAATTCCAGGGCCAGTCTACTGTTTCTTCTATTCCCCAGTCGTGTGGCCTCAGGCAAGTCACCAGCCCCTCTGTGACCCCTGACCCCGACCCTGTCTTGTCTCCTCACGGGGACAGGGCCTCCCCACAGAAAGAGTTCAGGAAGGGCTGTGGGCCCAGCGCGTGGGTGGAAGCGGGGGGGGGGCTCACCCGTGGGGGGCGGCAGCAGGCTCAGGTTGTGGAGACACTGGTCCCCATAGAGCTTCCACTTCTCGAGCAGGAAGTCCAGCACCTGGGCGGAGGGGGCCTGGGGCTGGGCAGGAATGGATGGGCGGGGCGCGCCGGGTCAGCCCGGGCCCGGCGGGCAGCCCGAGGGTGGGTGCCAGGCGGGGGCGGGGGCGGGCTCACCTGGCGGGCCAGGAGCAGCAGCAGCAGCAGCAGCGGGAGGTGGGGGCGGAGCGGCCGGGCGGGGGGCATGCCTCCGGGCTGCCACCCTGCACATCTGGCAGAGGGTCCTCGTGGGCACGCACGGTCTGGGGGCGGCTGCGGGTCAGAGCCGCAGGGCTGGGGAGAGGCCCCCAGGAGCAGGGAGACTAAGCCGGGCCCTGCCGTGGCCGCCGTGGCCGCCCGCTCCCCTGCCGCCACCCATCCGAGCCGCCGGGGCCTAGCGATGAAGCGGGCGCTGGGAGAGAAGGGGCTGCTTTTGGCCAATAGGTCCTGCCCAGCAGCCGGGGGGGCGGGGGGGGCGCCGTGCCACCTCCAGCGGGCGCCGCGGGTTTCCCACGCCTGCCGCTGTCTCCTCGGGCCCTCAGCGCACCGGGGCCCCGCCCCTCCGTGCCGGTGGCAGCCACCGTCCCGCCGGGTCCCAGAGCTGCAGGCAGGGGTGTGGGCAGGGAGGCAGTGCCCCCAGCAGCCCATCCCCCCTCGGCTCGCACCAGCCTCCCCACCTATTCTTAGTCCCTGGGAAAGTCGTCCGGCCGGGCCGGGCCGGGCGCTGGGGCCATTCATCACTGGGCGCCCAGCGCCCTGAGTGCCGAGGCGGCCCCCCGCCCGCTCCCAGCCTTGCCGGGGACCAGGAGCACCAGGCACGTTCCGAGGGCGGCCCCTGGCACATGCACGGCCCCCCCTTGGGACTGGAGGCCGGGTTCGGGCCCCGCGGGGCACAGAGCGCGGGCGGCTGCAGCACACTCTCCCGGGGCCAGCGCTGCTGGCCGCTGGCTGCCGGCCCCGACACGGGGCCCTGCCCCTGTCGTGCCTGCGGGGGGGCCGCGGTGCCCGGTCCTGGCCGAGCCCGGCCAAGCCAGGGTCCTGGGCGGCGGCAGCCACGCAAAGCCTCCCTCCCGGCCTCCAGAACCCGTCTGGCGCAGACTGAGTCCCCTGGGGACACAGGGAGGGGCCTGGGTGCAGGGCCCCGGACTCTGGATGGGCCGTGCCTGGGCACGCTGGCGTGAAGGGAGCAAGCAATGGACGGACAGGTGGACAGCTGCCTGGCTGGACATTGCGGGGAGAGGCCCGGAGTGGGGGACGGGGGGCCCAGGCTGTGGCTGAAGGCAGGGTGTGCCGGGACACCCCAGACCCCCACCTCCTGCCCATCCCGCTGGGGCCTGGAAGGGCCAGTTCAGCCAGGGCCTCCCTGAGATTCACCTCCACCCCAGGGGGACCCTGAGATGCCGCCGTGCAGGGTGAGAGCTGAGTGACCGGGGCGCACGCCTGGGTCACGGCCTGCTCTGGGGCGCCTGACCCCGGCCCCCGGGCCGCGGACACGGGCCGGTCCCCAGTCCCTGAACCAGGCCATGCGCCCCAGCTGTGCCCGGGGCTGCAGGCAGGGCAGCCGCACAGTGGTGGGTGCTCTTGGCAGGGAAGGCGGCAAACAGAAGGATGCGGGGCGGCTCAGGCGAGAGAGCGGCCTCGTCTCCCGATTCTGACCGGACGACCCATCGGCTGCCAGGGTAGGAGGGGTGGTGGGTGCGCATGCTCAGCGTTCACGGGGGGCCTGAGCAGCTAGGAGCTCTAGGACCAAGGGAGGGGCGGGCTGGGGCAAAGCGGACAGAGGACACGCAGGCAGGGGACACGGGAGGAAGGACACTGCCCGATAAGCTGTTCCCTGCTCAGAGGCCCCGCGGGGAGGGGCCGGGGAGCGAGGGCGAAGCTGCCGGCCGGCCCACGGAGAGCGGCGCCCAACACTGCCAGCCCGGGGCCCGGCGGGGCTCAGCAGCCCTGGGCGCACGGGCCTCAGTTACTCTGGGGGACCAGGGAGACGCAGGACCCGGGGAGAGAGGAGAGATGGCGGGTGGGCTGCCCTGAGGCCCCTCCTTCCTGCCCCTCCCAGGCCACTCTCCTCACCAGCCACGGCCAAAAAAGAGGGTGCTTGGTGTGCGCCATGCCCACCCCGCCTGGCCTGGCGGTGCAGTTAGGGAGCAGCGCCCACAGGTCACAGGCTGCGTCCCCCGGCTCAACGGGCCTCCCACCCCAGGCCTCAGGGGCTGGGGCTGCAGCACCCTCACACTGAGGGCTGCGGGCGACCCCCTCCAGGGTCTGGATGGGAGCGGGACAAGGGGCAGAGCGGCCCGGGTCCTCCGTCCCTTTGTGGGGTAGCCAAGCAGATTCTAGACACTTGTCTGAATTGGGGTTCAGCAAAGCTGGGGTTCTGGGGTCCCTGCCCTGGGCACCCAGGGGTGAGGCCGGCCCCCCAGGACAGGGCAACGTCGCGGCACCCAGCTCTGGTCCTGGACCAGGGCCCACAGCCTAACTTCCGGGAGCCTCAGTTTCCCAGCTGGCCACATGGGTGGGATGGCCGCTTCTGCCGCCTCGGGCGGCACATCCAGGCCCCCTCCCCGCCGAGGGGGCTGCGGGCCACGGGCAGCCCGGCAGCCCCAAGAACCACCGTCTGCCGGGGGAGCCGCAGGACCGAGGGTGAGGAGCCAGCGCCCACGGCGCCGCCTGGGGCGCTCCCGGGTCGGGCGCCGGAACTCCCTGTTTTTCACCGTATTATCTTCCCAGCACCGAGTGGCCGGGTGGGGACAGCCGGCCGGGGACCCACCCTTCTCCCTTCAGGGACCAGGACTGAAGCCACGCAAATGTCAGCCCAGGACTGGAGACTCCAGTGGGGGTTGCGTGGACAGAGGTGGGGGCTCTGCCAGGGCCCCAGCCGCCGCCCCTCCCCCCGCACTCACCCCCTGCCCCCCCACCTGCTGGGCTGGCCCCACCAGGCAAGGGCCGGGCAGAGTGCATGGCTCCTGAGAGTTCAGGGCTCGGCCAGTGCCCCCCCAGTTTCTCCTGGGGACAGCGGAGGGGCTCCCCGGCTTGGGGAGGGGACTTCTAGCCTGGGCGGTCAGCCAAAACGGGCAGCGGTGGTCGCCCCAGATTCCCAGTGGGCCGGGCTGAGGCCCCCCAGCCTCCGAGGTGAAGGAAGCAGGGGTCATTTTTGTGAGACCAGAGCAAGGGGTGGAAGGTGGTGGGTCAGGGGACACGGGCTGTTGACAGCACTTGAATCCTGCGTCCTTCACCCCCAGCCCGTGCGGGCGGGGCGGGCCTGGGTGCCGGCCAGGGCACAGTCCCCCACGAGGCTCGTCCCCAGCCCCGCGGCCTGGAAAACAGCCCGGGCCGGTCCTAGTGCTCGGTGGGTGTGGGCGCCCAGACGCCAGGGGTCAGCCGGTTCGGTTCGGGGGGTGGGGGCAGAAACCTGCTGCCGAAAGGCGGGAGCGGGGGCCGCCGGGGCGGCGGAGCGGGGCGGCGGGAGCGGGGCGGCGGGAGCGGGGCGGCCAGCCGCCCCCGCTGCGGGTTAAAGTGACAAACGTGGGCTTCGCACAAGAGCGGACCGGCGGGGACGGAGCCCCCCTCGGCCCCTCCTGGGAAACTTCCGGGGCTGGGACAGCGCTGGGGGCGTCCGGGGTGCAGGGCCCACCTGAGGAGGGGCCAGGCCGCCGGGACCCGCGCCTGGGGGTGTCTCCGCGGGGCTGCCCGCGGCGGGAGGGGCGCCCCCGCCCTGGGCGCGTCCCTGGGAGGGAGCAGCCGAGAGCAGAGACCCCCGGCCGCCGCGTCCGCGCTGGGAGGATGACCCCGGGGGCGGGGGCCAGAGGGTCCGACGGGGCAGGGGCCGGCCATCCCGCGCCCGCGCGCCCCGCGACAGGGTCCCTGCCGGCCGCCCCGCGCCCCCGCTCTGCGCGTCCCCTCGGGCCGGGCCCCAGTGCTCACCGCGCTGCTCCAGTCCGGCTCCGCGCTCCCCGCCGGCTCCGCGCCCCCCGCCGGCTCCGCGCCCGCGCCCCGTGCCAGCCGCGCGCTAACTTTCCGGCGGCGCCGCTGGGCGGCGGCGGGGGCGGAGCGGCGGCCGAGGGTCCGCGCTCGCGCCCCGGTCCTCCCGGCGGCGCCCCGGCTCCCGCCCCGCGGCGGATGTGGGCGCCCAGACGCCGGCCCAGAAGCCGGAGGACGGACAGGTGGGGGCGCGCGGCCGCGGTGGGGCTGGGACCCGGCGCCCCCTCCTCGCGCTCCCTCTCGCTCCCGGGTCCTCGCCGCTGCCTTCCGGGGTGTCGCGCTGATTTGCTGGGGGCACTGACCCCTCTCGCACCCCCACTGCGGCTCCTGGTGACGTCTCCGCCCGGCGCTCCGCGGAGCAGGCCGGACGGCGCAGGGGCAGGCCCCGCGCTGGCGGAGCGCAGGCCGGCGGGAAGGGCAGCCCGGCGGCGCCCCTGTAGCCCGGGCCTCAGGGCCCGTGTCTTCTCCGTCCCGCCCCGTCCAGCCCCGCTCCCGCAGCAGCTCCGCTGGCCCGGCTCCCGCCCCCCGCGCGCTGCCGCTGGGCTCCCGGCCTTTCCTTCGCGGGGTCTCGTTTCCAAGGGGGGCGCTCCGCGGCTGCGCCCCTCCCCCCAGACCGGCGCCCGCACCCCAGCCGGGCTCTGGAACCCCTCCGTCCCTCACCTGTCGGCCCCCCACCGGCAACAGTCCCTGCTTGGGGCCCAGGCGACCTCAGCGTTACCAACCCCGTGGACACTTTGGGGCCCCATCTTTTCTGGACTTGCAGCGTTCCAGGACACTAAGCTGATGTCCACCTTCTAGAAAGTTCTTCCCGGGGCCATGGCTTCCAGGGTGGCACTCGCGCCACTGCCCCTCACACAGGGCCCACCCCGGTCCCCAGGTGCCTCCAGGGCCTCAGGGGAGCTGCTTCCGCCTCCTGGATGCCCCCCACCCTCTCGCCCCCGCCGGACACCTGGCGGTGGCCCCGAAGCCACCACACCCCAATTCCCCCTCCCACATCTCCATGGTGTGGTCTGGGCCTCCCCACCGCTGTCCACCACCTTCCGGCCACCGTCGCCTGGGACGCCCTCCTCACTGTCCATCTCTGGGGCCCCCCTCCCTCCTCTACTGTTTTAGGGGACACTGGAGCCCGTGGCCCCCACCCCCAGTACCCAGGTGGCCGGCACGGTACTCGGCACAGCGCTGTGTCCTGCCACCGTCTGAAGGCCCAGGAGGAGGGGCCCTCCGGGGGGGTGCCCTCCAGACCCCCGCTCTTACCAGCACCTGGAGCCCTGCCCCCGGGGCGGCCTTTCTGTGTCAGTCCAGGGGGTGGCCGGAAGGCAAAGGTCAGAGGCAAAGGTCAGGAAGCGGGCCCTGCCTGCGCAAAGGCAGGGCGCTGGACCGGGGGAGGGGCCTCCGCGGCGTTTGCCTGAAGGCCTCCTCCCCTCCCGCCCGGGCACCGCACGCTGAGCAGTGGGGTCGTCCCTGCTGCCTGGCCCGTCTCTCCCTGGACCATGTCTCCCCCAGGGCAGCGTCCGCTGGGCCCACCCAGGCCCCGGGGGGGGAGGCGCTGGGCGACCGAGCCAGGGCCCAGCAGGAAGGGATGAGGAAGAACCAGTGTGGGTGCCTGAAGTGGGTGGGGGTGGGGGCAGCACCTGGCATGTGGGGGACCAGTGGGGAGCCGCAGGGGAAGGGGACGGATGGGGATGGGGGCTGCCCCGCCCGCTCCGCTCCCGCCCCCAGGGCGGGCTCCGACTGTCTGCACCGCTGGCTCGGGTGTTTGACCACGTGCCGGGGCTGGCACAGCCCACAAGGCCCGGCGCCCGCCTGCCAGCGCGGGAAAGCACGCACCCCACCTTCCTGTTCTGGGGGAAGACGGTGGTAAGGAGCAAAGCAAGAAGCGGCCAGAGGGAGCGGCGCTGGGCGGGGACCAAGGCAGAGGGAAGAGACGGTGCGCAGACCCAGCTGCTGGTGGCACCGCGGGCCTGTCCCCCAGGCCTCCTGACTGGCCCCGGTTCATTGCTGTTGATATGGTTTTATTCTGCTGTCCTCGGCACAACTTACAATGCAGGCATTTAATTCCACCAAGGAGAAGCCCTGTCGCATCGCTGTGCTTGGGCGCTGAGTGCCCTGCTCGGCGGGTCCGTCAGGCCTGGCCCACGTTCACAGATGGCAGGAATCCAAAGGGCCACCCACGCCCAGGCCCACGGGCACCGAGCTGCATCCCGGTGCCTCGCCAACAAAAGCGAGGACCCCAGACACATTCGAGAGACAGAGAACCAGCTGGAGGAACCAGCTGGCGCAGGGAACAGAAGAAAGCTCCAGAAACATCCTGGCCATGCGGCTGCTTTAGGAAGATGGGAAGGATGAGGGACCCTTCCCACTGAGACGGGCGCTTTGGAAAGCAGGCAGAGAACGGGGGAGAGCCCTCAGAAATTAAAATATGTTGTGTGCGATGTTCAAACGCGGTGACAGCTGCAGGGGTGCACTGGCGACCTCCCTCAAACAGCAGCACAAAGTCCCGGAGGCGAAACTAGGCAAGGAGGTGGGCGCAGCGTGGGCTCCGTGTGCACGAGCCCGCACGCTCGCGGCCGAGGTTCCGAAAGGGGTCAGAGAGCGAGGCAACGCGAGGAAGGACCTCCCAACGCACGTGCCAGGAGCCCCGCACTGCCGGGCGGCCTCGCGTCCAGCGCAAAGAAACAGCAAACGGACGGACCAGCGAAGAACCCTTCGAACGGCACCGTGGTGGAATGTCAGAGGGCAGGAGTGAGCAGAAGGCGCTGGCGGCTCAGGAAGCAGCGGGCTCCCCGGACGTGAGCGCGGGTCCGAAGGGCACCTGGCTGCCGCCTGCCTGCGTGGCCTCAGAGGACTGCTGCCCTGGGGTCCCCCGAGGGCCGCCACCCCCCCCCCGGCATGCTGTCCCCGCGAGGGCAGGCCCAGGGAGCTGGCTGGTGCCGCGGCTCCCGGGGCCCCGGGGTCGGCTAGGAGCCCGCAGCCGGGCGGGTCCTCCCTGGGAAACGCTTTCCGGGAGGCACCGGATTTGGAAGGTTTGGCACAAAAACCAGCACGCGAAATCGCTCATCAGTTGTTTGCAGGCCGGCCACGTGTTGCAATACTCTCGTCCACATCGTGGGCTCATAAAGGTACTACTAAAGTTGATTTTGCTCGCTCCTCCTCTCTTTTCGAACACGGCAATGAGAAATTTAAAACGCCTGGCTCAGAGGTGTGCTTGGGCAACATTTCTATTGGGAAGGACAAGCATGTGTCCCAAAAGGAAGTGTGCTCCCAGCGCACCGTGCTTCCACGGCCACCCGTGCACCGTGGCGATGTGCGCCCAGGACCCGTGGGCCCCATGGCGGGGTGCAGTGCCCCCAGACCCAGACCCCGTCCCCGACCGGGCTGCCGGGAGTCAAAACCATGGCGACGGCGCACGTCAAGGCACTGACTGGCACGGACGTGCGCCAGGCGCTGTTGCAGCCAGAGGGCAGCGGACGGGCAGGCGGGCGGGCGCGGGCGGCCCCAGGCGCTGCATGCCGGCTGCAGTGTGGGGGTCTTTTTCTAAAATAAAAGATTTTATTTACTTTTAGAGAGAGGGGGAGGGAGGAACAGAGGGAAAGAAACATCCATGGGAGGTTGCCTCTCGTGCGCCCCCACCGGGGACCTGGCTGAGGGGCTGCAGCGCCTCCCCCCGCCTTTCCTTTCCTGATTCCACCAGGACCGGGCGCCTCCCCAGGGCAGTCTCCCCGGCACACGCCGCGGTCTCTCCTGGCGCCGACGGCTATCCTCTTGGCGGGGTGTCCCTCCGCTCTCCGGGCTGGCTGTGCAGAGTCCCAGTGCCACCAGCAGGGGGTAAGGGTCTCGGGGCACACCCTCCCCAGGACCGTGGATTATTTTCAAATACGCCTAAGTGTTAATTTGGTAGCCTGTCCTAAAAGTGAGGTTTATGGCAGCATGATTTACAGGCAGAAAAACGGACTCTTGAGAAATGTGCAGGCCTGAGATCTTCAACAGACAGAGTATGCGGCTGCAGGACCAAAGCCAGCGGAGGACACTGTCACGTCCCCTGGGGGGCTCGGCCCTGCACACAGGGGCGCGCCAGGGGCTGGCAGCTGCGTGGTGCGGGAGGGGGTGAGAGGGACTCACGTGGCCCGTGGTTCCGGGTGGGTCGGCTCAGCCCAGTTCCAGGCTTAACGTGCCGCAGTGCCTCCTGGGGCCTTGCCCCAGCCCCGGGGACCCCGTGCCCCAGCCCCGGGGACCCCGTTTCCCAGTGTCATCGTCACCCCGCTCCCCTTGGCCTGGCTCTTCTGCAGCAGCCCTGCCCACACCCCCCGGCCTCCCAGCCCTGCCGCCCCAACAGGCCTGTGGCTTGTCCCCTCCAGGCCCTGAGCTCCTGGGTGAGGGGCCTACCGCCGTGCTACCTCCGCTGTGCCCCCGCCCACCGGTCCCCTGCCCGTGCCACCCAGCCCCTACTCTGTCGTTGACCCGAGCCTGGCACCGTTCCCTGCCAGAGGCCCCAGGGTCCTTCCCCGCCGCCACCCTCCTTCTGAGCGGCCTGATTCAATCGAGCCGGCTGGATGCCACCTAATGCGCCTTTGCAGAGCCTAATGACCCTGAGGGTGGCTCGGGGCGAGAAGCGGCTGGCGCGACGGAGGCCAGGACCTCGGCGCCCTCCCCAGAAGGCGGGGGTGACTCGGGGGAACGCAGGCCGTAAGCCCTGGGCGGCGGTGGCCCGAGGCCTCGCAGAACGCCCTGGTGGTCAGCCCGCAGCAGCCAGGGCTGCGCTGAGAGCCTGAAGGTCCCCGCCCAGGGCTGACTGTGTCCCCAGGCCGCACGGGGAAGGCCTGGCCCCGGCACCTCAGGGCGCGTCTGTGTTTGGAGGTGGGGTCTGTACGCAGGTGGTTCAGGTAGAAGGAGTCATTAGGTCGGGCCCTGGTCTAACCCGACCGCTGTCCTGGCACAAAGAGGCCCTCGGGACAGGCGCATGCGGAGGGACGATGATGTGAGGACGCAGGGGGAGGACAGCTGTCCACAGGCCGGGGGAGGGGCCCCGGGGGGACCACCCTGCCGGCACCTGGGTCTCAGACCAGGTGTCGCCAGGACTGCAGGTGAGAACCGGCCGTCGGTGCAGCTGCCCGTCCGCGGCACCTGCCACAGCAGCCCCGGGACGCACGTCCGGCCACCACGGCAGCATCTGGAGTCCCGCGGCCGGAGGGCAGATCCCTCCCACCGTCAGGCCACGGGTTCTATCGTGGGTGGCGGGCTCGCCCTGCCTCGGTCCATTGCCCGTGCTGAGCCAGGGCCTGGGGGTCCAGGGGGCATCCGTCCCCCAGGTGGGACGCCTGGTGGGAGGGCCTGAGACCCTGGAGCTCCGATCCCCCGACGCCCGGCCAGCCTCCCCCACCGGGCTGTGCGGTCGGCTCGCCTGAGCCAGCTGCTCCGCCCGCCTCCCCTGCAGGTTTCTGGCAGTGACAGGGTTGAGTCTCATGTGGCTGGAATGGGGATGTTTTGAGTCTCTGCAGGTGGACAGGGACTGGTCTGCAGGGAGCGGCCGCGGGCAGGGGAGGGGCGCCAAGGCCGCTGAGTCCTGGCGGAGTCAGGCTGGATGGGGGAGCTGGTGGATCTGGGGCTCCTTCCACATCTTGCAAGGACACCTGAAATCGTGGCTCCTTGAAGCTCAGGGCAACGAGGGCCGCGGGGCACAGGGCAGAGGCGCCAGGTGGCCTCGCCAGGTGCAGAGGAGGGAGGTAACAGGCGCGGGACCGGCAGGGCTGGTGGGCTTCTCTTGGGAGGCCGGAGAGCCTGCCGCTGACGAGCTTCCCCGGAGGGCCCAGAGGACAGTGAGGGGCCACGGTGGTGCCAACGAGCAGCTCTGTGTCCCCCTCAGGCCGGGGTTGGCGGGGGGAGGTCCTGCCAGAGCTGGGGCCCTCGCGTGTCTGTGGGCTGGCGGCCCAGGGGCAGCGGTGGGCAGGCAGGAGGCTCGGCGAGCCTGGCATCGCAGCGAGGGCATTAGCTACCCGCCGCTGCAGAACAAATCATCCCAAACCCGCCGGCTTTCAACAGCAAGCCTCGTCACCTCAGGGGCCCGCAGAGCAGGAATCCGGGTCAAGGTGCCGGCCGGCCGGGGCCGCGGCCCTTGGGGCTGGGAGGCGGGGGCCCCCTTCCGAGCTCAGCGGCCAGATGCACGGCTGCTCGCAGGCGACAAAGGCTCCGTCCTCAGGGCCCAGCAAGGGGGCAGCCGCCGCCCTTCCATGGCCTGACCTCAGAAGACACAGACGTCCGTCTCTGCCACACCCGCTCGTCAGAGGTTAGAGGGTGGCCTGTCCATGCAGCCGGTGCTCACGCAGGAGACTTCCTAGGCCAGGGCGAGGTCACGGCACATATGCTGTGAGGAGCTGCTTGACCTTCAGT